ATATTTTCCCCTCGTTCATTATCGTACTTCATACTTCGTCATGACTGAACAGACACCTAAAGTACTCAAGCTTAAGACTTTTGTCCCTGCCTTCGTTTCAACTGATGCCTTTCTGGCCCGACAACATCGAAGCCTGGTTTTGCTACGCAGAAGCCGACTTCTCCGAGCACGGCGTGATCGACACACGTGCACAATTCCTCGCAGTAGTCAAGGCACTACCGCGCGAATTCAACAGGTACGTAACACCTAGTATGTTTACTAGTGATGTTTCCGATCCTTACTAAATCTTAAAACGCTCGATGCTTAAACGAGGAGACCTAACCGATCGAAAAAGGTTAGATCAACTCTTCAACAATATCGACCTGCAACACGGTTCTGCGACAGACATGTTGCAACGGATGAGAGAGGTTGTAAGCCCAAGAACTTTCGACGAAGGCCTATTCAAACAACTCTTCTTGTCAAAACTTCCCCAACAGGTGCAAGCAGTTCTGGTCTCGTTCCAGAACAACGCCTTAGACGAGCTAGCTGCATCTGCCGACCGCATTTTGGAAATTACGAAATCTACTACCAAGGTATTTTCAGTCAAAGAAAAACCTCAAACGACTCAGAATGATATTAACGACTTATGTCACACACTCACGCGTTATCTTAGTCTTCGTATCGACTGTAAGAGATCGCGCACACCACGTAGAAGCATTTCTCGTAAGCGATCTGTCTCTAGACCACGAGAGACAGATAACCCCGACTGGTGCTGGTATCATAACCAGTATGGAAAGCTTTCCAGAAATCGCAGAAAACCCTGCAATTTTCCCAACACGAAACCGACTGATTCGAAAAGCAATTCGGGAAACTTCCAAGCCGGCACGCGTTAACGGCAACCGTAGCCAGCAAACAAAGCCGTCTGTTATTCGTCACAGATGTGACAGCGAGAGTTCACTACCTCGTCGACACTGGCGCAGAAGTTAGCGTTCTCCCAGCAAATCCTAACGACCGACTACACGAATCGACCCTAAACTTACAGGCGGCAAACGGAAAACCGATCGCTACGTATGGCAAAAGGTACGTTTACCTTAACGTGGGTTTACGCAAACCCATTCACTGGATTTTCGTTGTTGCAGATGTTTCTATGCCAATCATTGGTATGGATCTTCTACAACACCATAATCTGATCATCGACACTCGCAAACGGAGGCTAGTAGACGGAAACACTAATTTGTCCGTTTGCGTAACTTCTTTTACTGGTTGTAGAGTATCCCCAGTCACAGTTAAACATATGATAGACCCACTCTATCAATCAGTACTCGATAAGTATTCTGGGATACAACAAACTCAACCGAAACTACCGTGTGTAACCAGCAATGTTACACATCACATTACGACTACAGGACCACCTGTATTTTCTAAAGCACGACGACTAGCTCCCGAAAAGCTAAGGTTAGCGAAAAACGAATTCGATCACATGATAGACTTAGGAATCATACGACCGTCAAATAGCCCATATGCATCTCCGTTGCACATGATCCCTAAAAAGGACAGCAACGATTGGCGTCCAACTGGTGACTATTGGCGATTGAATGCAAAAACCATTCCCGATCGTTACCCGTTGCCTCATATTCACGATTTGACAGCTACCTTGAAAGGTACAACTGTCTTTTCGAAAATCGACATGAGATATTCCGAAAACCACAATTATAACTTCCTTCTGAGTTTGACACCTAGCCGAAGAAATGCTGTCTAAACTTTACAAAGTTTCATAAACGACGTTATCCGGGGACTCAACTTCGTACATGCATATGTTGATGACAGTTTGATTGCGACTCTGGACAGGGAATCGCATCTCCAGCATCTGGATCTTGTTTTCGAACGGCTACAAATACTTGGCATTGCTATAAACACTCAGAAATGCCGAATAGGACTTCCTAGCACACACTATTGATGCGCAAGGCATCTGATGCGAAATCCATCAAGTTGGACGAAATCGCGGAGGAAGCATTTTCCACAGGTAAGGAACCAATCGCTAAGGCAACGATGCTGGCACATCAGTACACTCCAGCACCTATGAGTATCGCAGTAGACGCAATCAACTCGGCAATCGAAGGAGTCTTACAACAATGGGTCAACAACTTTCGGCATTTTTCTCTAGACGGCCGCTAGATACTGAATCGAGGTACAGCACATTCGGTAGGGAACTCCTAGCTATGTATTGTGCTGTACACAATTTTCAACATTATATTGAAGGTCGTGAATTCACCTTTTTCACTGACTACTAACCTCTTACCTTCTCTTGAAACTCATTTTAAGACAAGTACTCATCACGTGAGTCTCAACAACTGGACTACATTTCGCAGTTTACTTCGGATATTCAACACGTTTCTGGGACAATTTAGTCTCTGACGCCTTGTCTTGCATAACTTTTTTGATCAGTTTCCAAGGAATCGACCTTCTGAAACTCGCCGAGCTTCAAAAAGGAGACACTGATCTTCAGCACGATTTATCCTCAACAACCCTTAAGCTGCGCATCAAACAGATGGGAACAGGTAAGGAAACCTTACTTTGTGACACGTCTACAGGTAGGGATCGCCCGAAACGTTATCGACGCAACGTCTTCAATACGTTGCGCAAGCGTTCTCATCCAGGTGTTCGTGCAACCATCAAGCTCATAGCAGTACGATTTCGCTGGCCTGGTATGAATAAAGACAAGAGGGAGTGGGCACGCTCCTATGTAAACTTCCGGAAATCTAAGGTGGTTAAACACTACAAATGTCCCCTAGGCTCTTCCAATACTCCCGACGCTCGTTTCGACCATGTTTGTTTGGATTTGGTAGGACCTTTACTAGCTTCAATAGGTACTCTTATCTCTTAACTAGACCGTTTCACTCGATGGCCAGAAGCAGTTCCTATTAAGGACATCACTACTGAAACTGTGGCCCGCACCTTCGTCGAATGACGGGTAGCAAACTTCGGCTGCCCTTCAACCATCGCTACAGACCGCGGACGTCAGTTCGAATCTGAACTTTTCCGTTGTCTGACTACAGTTTTAGGAATCCCTCACTTCCGAATGACTGCCTACAACCCACAAGCAAACGGGTTGATAGAACGTTTTCACCGACAGCTAAAAGCTTCACTTTCAGCTGCGAACGTTTCACAGTGGACCGACGCTCTTCCACTCGTCTTACTAGGTATTCGCAATGCTGTGAAAGCTGACATTGGATACACTGCGGCTCAACTCGTTCATGGAACGACACTTCGACTTCCAGGAGAATTCGTGGATCCTTCATCCTCCTCAATGAACATGGATCTAACCTCCTACACGAACAGGCTTACAAACGGAATGCGTTCAGTTAAACCTACTTCCACTCGACCACAATCAACCAATGTTTTCGTTCAACCTGACTTACGATATAGCACACACGTTTTCGTTCGTCGAGACTCGCATCGACGACCATTCGAATCAGCATACTAAGGACCCTTCAAAGTCCTCAACGTGAATCTAAGTACTATGTAGTCGACAAGAACGGAACAAACGATAGCATCAGCATCGATTGCTTAAAAGCAGCGTATTTAGAAGGAAATCCTATTCACGTCGACTTTCCTTCAGTACAATCGCACAACACGACTCCTATACTTATAATTCCTCAACCGACAACCAACACTGTCGATGATACTCCGAATGCATCTGAAAATAAACTTAAGACGACGCGTTCTGGAAGAAGAGTAAGATTTTCAGAACATTTAATCGATTATTGCACGTACGATACTAGTTGGCATTTTATGTCATCTAGATTTTCCTTTCTACTATATATAATTTGAAAAATTTTTTAATGTGCTTATACATTTTTATTTTTATTTCGAAAAAAACAAAGCAAAACAACTTCCTTGCTTCTGTCTTTTGATTTCAATTGGTGGGAACGATTCATATTAGATAGTACTGGTTAAAGCGTTGTCAAACCCAAATACATATGGCGTGCTCAACATAGTTTTGCAGTCGTTTTACTAAGTACCTTGTAATGATCACGTAATTTAGCTTAGCATGAAACAAACGGCTGTAGAAATAATCGAAAGCCTCGAAAAAATTACAGATTTATGTTGACTGGATGTACTCCAGAAAGAGCATTTAGCTGTAGCGTGGCGTCGAGTCGAGATTAACTATGAACACCGCTACCAAGAAACACGTGCCAAATAAATCAGAAGGCGTAGGTTGAACGTAATCAAATAGATCCATAAAATCCCCGAGAAGCCAAATACCATAAGGCAATTAATGGACCAAATCGGGGTATATATTTGCTGGCGATCTCGTGGTATCGAAAGGATACCGAGATCGTGTCAGGATACAATTTTGGTTACAGAACGTAACCGAATTCGCGCGAAGTCACAATCAAAGTGTGTGAGTATAAGAATGGAAGCACAAAATAGCTGTCATTAGCATAGTCAAACAAAAGCATATTAAAATAAACACTGGTACAGTTGGTTATAATAATGATTGTTTTTAATAAACCAGTCGTGTTCTCGTGATAAATGTGAGTCACTGCATAGCTATTCCGGACGGTCAACAGAAATAATTACACAATCAATTAATAAATGAGTTATGAAAGGTTCACATGGCTTAAGGGTCTGATCGTGACATAAGACGGTTAAGTCGAATCATACATCATTTCATTGGTAAAGTCCGTTTAATCTAGACGCTTTCCCGTAGGAACTCCTAGACGTACACTTAGCTAATTTTTCAATCGATAAAACTTTCTAATCACGTTCCAAAAATAGCTAGATAGTAAGAAGGTAGCAATGAAACCACTCGAAATGAATATCTTAAGAACATCATTTTGATAGCCCTAGTGATAGATTGAAGAAACGAAATGATTTTAAGGGATAAGCGTCCATGAAACCTGAAGTGAGTTTCTACTATGTATCCATCTCAGCACCTTTTAAAAACACGTCAGCCAGCCGAAATATACTTACAATTGTAGGGTCAAGTTTGTTTTCCTACATCATTATGTTGTGCTCTCATTAGGTCAAAGGATACGGTTTTTCAAGGTTAGACAATGTCTGGGAGAAAGGTAGTTTTTAATGGTTATATTGTCATAATATTTTGTTTTAAATAATTTTCTGCGTGTCTGTATGCCATTTTGCTCAGGTAGGGTTAATTGATCCGTAAAGCATGAACACTTGCATCATATTCAATAAACCTTATGTACTGTGAATAATATAGGGTTTTTACTTTTTCGGAAAAGACAGGAAATCAAACTTCGCACATCATGCTTGTGGCATAAACTTTTCACAGCCTCGAAAATGAGTGATCGCAACTGGAATTTTTCATCTATGTCTCTTTTCACACTTAAGTATTATCATATATATGAAGCTACTACATCTTTATAATACTTACGTTACTATGATTCAATTTAATGCGCGTGTGAGTTCTGCTGCACTAACATTAAAACGATTTGAAACTCATATATCCACATCGTCTCGTTTTTCAATAAGTGGATATATTCCAGCACTTTCTTGCTCTTAATCTTCGTGCTTAAACATCTTTGTTTCGGATTTGGTTGTGAAATTAAAATGTCTGTAAAAATAAAGGATATCCTTTTTGCAAGTCGTCCTAATTGAAGTGTTGTTCGTCCGCATATCCGATTTATCTCCCTGACTTGGTTGTTTACCCACACTGAAACAAACGGATTTTTCCCGAATGACAATAGATTTAGGATTTTTAAAAAACAAGGAAAAACGCAAGCTGGTACGTTTTGAATTCCCTTTATGGGATCCGATTCAAAAGATTCAGTAGTAGTGAGATAAATATAAAGTCTTTCAAAGATATAAAGTGTTTGTATGATAAACAACGTAAAATAACTTAATTATGAAGGTTTAGGCAAACAAAAAGCATAAGCGTCTAGATGTATTTGATAAATTTACAGTTTAGGAACTTGAAATGCCATCGTAGGGTAAAATGAACCTCTGAACATGAACTAGAAACTCTTCAACCCTTCACCTGATTCGCCCCAAAAGTCAAATACTTTAGAATTAAATGCAATGTTTTTATGTTTTAAGATGTTTTTTTCATTACTGTATCGTCTTCGCGACTTATATCAAAACAGTCCATCAGTGTCAATTGATGAGGTCCTATATTAATTAGTGATCTAAGTAAATTTTACATCATTAACTTGACAAGGTTTCATTTTTCATTCAAGCTTGGGCAGTATTCATAGCGCTAGTGACAAATCGTAATTTAGTAAAGTGACCTTATCAATAGTCCTAACTAATCGTTTCATGTTGAAAAAGCAAACTTGTTTTCGATATTTCGAAGCATTATCCTAGGGAACCTTGTATCTGTCTATCGTTCAATCTAAAGTTTAGGTTTACTAATGAGTGATTTAATTACCACTGGAAATGTTTCCGTTTTCGAGTGAATCTGAAAAGTACTGTCGTTTAGCCAATGATCAATGATTTTCTTTCTTAAAAATGTTTACATGAAACTTTTATTATTTGTAACGAAAAGACCGAAGTTTAGTCCTTCCAGCGTGCTCTAAATTCCAAGGTTCAAAAATTCAACTTGAAACGACCGATATACGAATTTTCATAATGTATTCCAATAGAGTCGGAAGAAATGTGTTATTCACTCTCTCTCATTTACCGTTAGGTTTATAAACATCGATTGATAAATTGACTTGATAAATTCCTATTGTTAGCTATCAATAAGATCTGTCCTTCCAAGTACATTGGTAGATAGCTGAAGTCTATGGATGTCTATTTTGCCTAGAAGCCCTATTTTATAGCCAAAGAACTCTTTCAAGGTCTATTCTTGTATTTTTTTGAGAAATATGATTTTCCAATAAATATACTATCATCCTCTTTATCCGGCCTTTGATCTATGGATATGTCAAGAACAAATCCACTCTTTTGATTATACCAATGTCTATCTTGACATGTATTTGCCCTTGCGGAGCAGGTTGAATGTAACGCTTCCTTGATGTCAAAAGAAATGCACAGGTCGATAAATAGCCCAATTATGGAGCACCTTTTTATTCAGTTCACATTCTCGCATCACCATCTTTCCTAGTTATCTGCAGAGTTAATTGAACTGTGTCAAATGAGGTACAAGTAACGTTTTACGCACCTCAGATGCTTTATCAGCTCACCAATTTAGGTCTAAACACCGCGTTCGAAAGCAACATGTCCAGCATTTTACCCTTTTATTGTTTCAACCTTCCTACTCTAGGTAATAATTGCAAATGACTAACTTTTTATTTCCCATACTTAATAATCATCATTATTATTTTTAATTATGCTATAATTACTACTTGACTGCCATCGTAACATCTAATTTTTGTCTTCCTCTTCATATTCATTGAGTGATCAAAGAATTAAAGAGTAACTTCAGAGGCTGCTATGATTACTTTTGGCATAATAATATCACCAAAAAGACTCAGCGTTAGTAGAGTGAAGACAAATGTTTCCAGAGGAAAGTTTGAATAAAAAATAAGCGGTTGATTAGCATAAATGGGTCTAATCCATATTTAAGTTATGAATTTTTTGACGAGTTTTTTACGTGAGATAATCTAACTTTATTAAGTTAGATGATGCATAGCTTCTTAGTTGTATCATAATAAAATACCTTCAGAGCGCCATAAGACATTTACTCACTGGAAACACAACGACAAATTTGGAGATATTCTCTCTGTTCTACGAACGTTGTAGTCTTATTAGTTTACTGAGTATATGTTTGTCATCCTTTCTTTTCAACTCTCAGTCTCAAAGCTATCGGGTTAAACATGTGTACATGACGAATGAAAGTGTAGTTTGTTCGTATACCGACTACAAGGTTCTGAAGTACTTTGGTTTAGTTTAGCCAATAACTAACACGCACATAGTGTATTACTAGACGGCGTCATTCATTATATGGTTAGTTTAAGTCAATTTTTCGTTAATTTTTAACCGTAAACTATTTGTATTTTTATGAATGATTAACTACAACTTTTTATTAAAGAACATGGAGTCATGTCCAATGAATTTGACTTTAGTAAGTAAAGCAAACGGTCATTTCTATTGATCTTTTATTATTTAATACTGTATGCACGTATACGCACATTTATGTGCCCTAAAACACTGTTGGAAATTATGAACACTTCCGACGCAAATTTAGATATTACATTATGGTCTTTTTGGATTACTATTTTCCTCCAGTCAATGAAACCACTTAATCAACTAAAAACTATTCACAACGAACACTATGCCAAACTTCAGAGCAAACATGCTTCAGAAACAGAATTATTAGATGATATGAGGTTAGTTGGGATTGGATTATATTTATTCCTGCATTTTATCCTTGTTATTTTTAGAACTGAAAATAATCGTACCTGAATAAATCATACACATATTCGAAAATGACTAATCTGTTTCGGCTTAGATTGAACCTTATCTTGGAAACACATTGACCGTGAATATCTATGTTAGCTCATTCTTGAAACTGTTGAACTTGCGTTTTATCCATATTTTTGATAATATTCTTCATAACATTGTTCGTAAATAAATATCCCACTCCATTTTTACAGCACTGAGTCAGGCACAAGGGATGAAAGGAGGCGTATTTTGTTCGTTTTAAGACCCATCTGTTGAATGTATATGCAATTTAGTTAGCGTCAGTGTTCATGATAAAAATTGAGAGTATGACAGGCTGTTCAGATAAAACAGGTTTACTGTTGTTTAATTTCGTATTGGTAACTTCTAGAAGCTTCATTTACCTGTTTACAAAGAACCTCCGATTGGTTGTCTAAGCATTTCGAGTCTTAGGAAAAGTGTTTTTTAAAAAATCTAAATAAACAAAATAGTGGACTTTATTTTGAAATTGGCATTTTTATTACATGACCGACTTTAAGTTTGAGTCTGATAATATTCTACATTACATGCAGCATACGGTAAACGTTTGTTTGACTGACTGAGCAATTGCATGCTAATAGCAGTAGCTATTTTACTGTGATAAGATTATTTTTTGGACTAAGTAATCTGTTAACAACGAATGCTACTCGTCATTAGTTTTTGGTTATTTTTGGCAATTTTGCATTTCAAAATAACTTGCAGGAGAATTTAAAGTTGAAATTAATCCTCTGACTTACTTCATTTACCATGATCTCGTCAAATAGTATCTACGAATTCATTGTACCTTGTTCAGTGTACATAATATATTTGACTAACTTTCTATTCATATTTAAATAAAATGCTTAAAACATCTAATAGACTCTAAGATTTACTGCTCCATCTATCATAGGTCTTGATGGCTTTTCATAAAATGAAATAATGAATTTTTGGGAGGGTGAAAGCAGAGTTATTCAATGAGATATGATAACAAGACAATCAATAAACTGGTTATTTTTGAGTCCATAACAAACCCGATGGTTAAAAATATGACTCTTAGAAATGTATTTGTAACGAATGAACCTTTTACTCTGGAAACGTTCTCCAGTTTTATTAACATATTACGTACATGTGTCAGACGTTCCTTGTTTATGTGATTGTGGAAAAACTATTCAGCATTCTGGTGTTTATTTCATGTGATTAGAGTTGTAAAATATTGTTTTTTAGTCTCTACCTCTGATTCAGAACTCTAAACGTGATCGTTTCAAGTAACCAACATTGCTTGGTGTTATGATTCTCAACGAATTGTATATTTATATAAATATAGTGATCAAATGACAAAATAATAAATCAGGGATATTATAACCTAGCAGACTATGTTTGTGTGGAGTGTATGACATACAAAGATTATGTTATAAATTCAAATAAATTTTTCCGCAGAATTATGATAAAAATGAAAGATCAACCTATTTTAAAACTTAAATGAAAATAAGAGATTTCTTCCAACAGTGCGTTATTTATGCCTAAATTTTATATTTTCAGAATGTACTGTAAACAAAGGGCATCAATCGAACGTGAATATGGTCAGTCATTACAAAAACTTGTGAATAGTTTCCTTTCAAAAAAAGAATTTACAACACAATCATCCTATTCATCAGATAATGATACTATACTGTAAGAATTGTCTTATATATTTTCTTTTACATGGAGACAAAATATCAAAGTTGATTATTATTGTTGTTATTTTTATTACTCTTATTATCATCACTGTTTTTTAGTCCAAATAAACAACATAACGTTTGGCATATATGGTATTCATTGTTAGCCGAATCGAATAATTTGGCATTATCACATTTACGTGCATCAGATAATCAACAAAGATTGTCTACTGAACTCAAACCACTTAAATCTCAGCGTCTGTCAGTCAATAAACGTGTATTTGAACAATTAAAAATCCTCCAGGTAAGAATACTTAACTTCTTGTCATATCGGTAGTTTTTTCTATTTTATTACTAATTTTTGAATTAACCTCCAATTTAGTTGAAAGCTTATTTGGTGAAAAGAAATAATTTTATTTCAGCTTGCCAAAATACTATCAAAAGTAGCCTTCATCGTGAACACTAACATTAATGAAGGAATTTTTGCAAATCAGAGAGTTCTGCATAGCGTTTTTATCCTAATTTGGGATTTATTGGCAAGTCATACTCTTGAACCTAGATTAGATTAAACCTAGGATTTTCAAGTCTCACTGAGTCCAAATCATTCAGTAGTCGGATTGAGATCTAATAATTTTCATTCTTCAACTTCATCCAATCTATGCTGTATCATGATTCTTTTTCAATGTCACTAATGGATGACTACTATCGGTCGTTCCAAAATCCACGGGTTTTCATTTGATTTGACTAGTAATGTAGTAAGTTATCTTTTAATAGAAATCTTATCCTGGAATGAGTATCCATGTAAAAATGCACATGATAGCAATATGTTTTAAATGGTATTTAAAAAATGTTTAGTTTCCTAAAACCAAAATATTTTTGCTTTGAACTTACTAATTTTCATTCTTTGCTGTGATTAGCCCATTTGGTTTATATATTAACTTTTTAGAGCATAATTATACTAGGTAGTTATATTAATTACAAATTATACTTTTTTTATCACTCATCTTTGTCCCCGTTTAAAAGCACTTGATCAATTTTTTTAAGCCGTATGCTTTTTCAGTTGCTCGATAAAAAAACTACAGTTTATAATGAGCATTATACATACCTGTCTAAAAATGCTCATCATATTAATAATGGATGTATAAACGAAAAGTTTAATTGTGAATTAACAATCGCCAACTCATGCTAAAATTTTAAAAGATGTATCTGCAATGTACTTGGCATTTTTTTTGAATCATTAATTTAGATTCCTAACTGTAAAACTTAATGACAATATATTGTAATGAATATTATTATTCTATATATCTGAGTTTTAATACATCTTCTGTTTATGCTGCAGATAAACGTAGCACTTGCATATTCAGAGTAAATATAGATTTGGTGGTCATTCAGTAGATCTTCTAGACAAAAACCCGATAACTTATTTGAGTCGAATCATTATCTATTTCTTCTTTTGAATTTATATAATTGATAAAGAATCTTTTGATCAAGGTTATCACGGGAACTATAAATATGCTCGCAAATAATTAATAAGTTTGAAAGAATATCAAGATTTAATTCAGACGGCAGTGTTACCTATAATTTGAGCCCATATAGCTGTTTTGAAGTGTTATGAAACTTAATAAACTAGTTTTCTAATTCATTACTCATAAAAATTAAGGAAAATGGACACAGAACTACTAAAATATTATGCTTGGGTACTTCAGTTTATTGAAAAGGTCACAGAATGTACTGATATTTGAAGTTTAATATTTATAATAGTTAGAAACCGCCCTGCCTTAGACATTAATTCATGCTAACATGTGATCTGAATAATCTAATCGATCATATTTCTAGTTACTGCAAACCAATCACCATAAACCATTCAATGGTTTAAAATTGTGATTTTACGCTTACTAAAAGTGTTTATAGAGGATTATGATTTCGCGATTTATTAATTCTTCACAGTCAATGAGATTGATTACGTTTGAGCAGCTCAATATGTCACAAACCATTCACGGTGGATGTCTTATGAAATTTCAATTAGTCTTATTTACTTCAAATTATTTTTATTATACCGGCATGTTTAGTCATTGAGATACATACAAAATCGCCTTTACATGTTACATTGTTACTTCATATAATTCTTTTCCAAGTTGAACTGCCTTAGAGGCAAACCATACTGTGGTGAACAAAGGACTGAGATGTGAAAAACCAACTGATTATTCAGTGCTAAATTACGGAGTGCGTTCATAAAATATAAAAACTACAATAAACACATCGTTTGCACATCTTTTAATAGTTCTTTATACGCTTCATGATTCTTCCAGTTCAGTTTTTATCACAACTACTCTCTGTATCTCTTCCTGTTCTTCCCAACTTAGTCTTCCCGATCTTCTGTTGGCAGGCATTCCACATCCGATTGTTGCTATACACTAGTTCCATCTGTCAGTATAAGTAGTACGCAATGCAATAACAGTTAAAGTTTCTCTGTATCAAATTGTATCAACTAGGGAAACAAAACATCATATACAAATGATGATGGCTTTTCTTGGTTTTTCATGTTAATTCGTAATTAGTTATTGTGTTGTTTTCTTTTCTTTTTTAGGGAGATCTAGCTGCATGTGTTCAAGAAATGGTGAAATCTCATAAAGTTTATGCAGAAGAAGAGAAACAAGCACAAGAAACTCGTTTAAAAACATTGGCTGCTAAAGAAAAGTAAGAGTTAGAATGTAATTGGTTCTGAGGTTTTCTTTTCTTAACCAGATGTAAATGAAACAAAAAATAATTATAAATGATTTTAAATAAATGTATTTAGTTCAATTTCAATTTCTTAGCAAATCATTCCATAATAAATTTAACATTTAAGATGAAACTTATGATTGTTTACTGTTTTTTAAGACTTGATACTACTTCACTGATAAATTTGACGATCCCATCAGAAATAAATACAGTCATGATTATTTATCCAATACTCAGGGACCATTAAACATTTAATGGTGAATCCTTTGTTATTTTATGTTCTTAAATTTGTCTAACAGTTTATTATTTTTGTATTATTCAAGCTAAAATCCTTCATTACTAACTTCTAAAAATCAAATCTATTACAATTAAAAAATGTTTGATCAGAGTGATAAAGTTAAAGTTGTTCAAAATAGAAACGTACAATTAATAAACTAGCGTAAATGTGAAATCAACTCAAGTCATTAAATATAATAAACTGAAATAAAGACAGAATAAATTCTGACTTAGCAAGGAGAATTCGACACTGTTTCTATACTAACAGGTTTAGCTGTAAATTAAATTTAACCTAAACCTCTACTGGTAAGCGTTTTTTTAGCGAGTTAGTTTTCCACGGGATGGGGACGCTAGCCCCATGCCCAACCTTCCTCCTTTACCCAGGCTTGGGACCAGCAGTAACTCTGGAAGGACTACAGGCGGAGAACTACAACAACCATCATCAAGAAGGTGAAAGTATCTATAAATAGCTGTCTACGCAAGATACTCAACATCCATTGGCCGGATGCCATCAGCAACGGCCTTTTGTAGGAGAGAACAAACCAGCTTCCAGCTGAAGAGGAAATTAGGAAAAGACGATGGAAATGGATAGGACATACACCATGCAAATCGTCAAACTGCATCACGAGATAAGCCCTAACTTGGAATCCTGAAGGAAGGCGGAAAAGAGGAAGGCCAAAGAACACATCACGTCGGGAAATAAAAGAAGATATGGAAAGGATGAATAACAACTGGAAGGAGCTGGAAAGGATTGCCCAGGACAGGGTTGGATGGCTAATACTGGTGAGCGGCCTATGTTCCTTCACGAGGAGTAACAGGCGTAAGTAAGTAAGTAAGTAAGTAAACCTCTACTATACAGATGGAAAGTAAACTTACAGATCTTAGCTTATTATATTTAGTTTAGTAAGTATTACTGCTACAAGACTAAAATAAATACTTTTATATATATTCTCCATTTGACCATACTAAAAGTTTCATTAAAAACCGTATAAGACTTTCCTTATAATAACTATTGATTAGTTTGTAATAGAGAAAGTGGTTTTACCTATAATGAATTTCTTGATATTCCAAAACTTTCGAAAATCATCTTTTCTTAGTAACGTTAATTGTCAATAAAATTCCATTTTTAGTGATTTTCACTTTACATGAGCTTATAGTCAGATTGGATGTTTCATTTAACATCTCTTGAGATATTCAGTGAAATATTTTAACACAGCTCGGGCAATGAAATAATCATCTTGTAAGCAATACATTCATTTGTAAACTAGACATCCTTTGTAGTTCATGTTTGTTGTATAGATATGTGAAGGACTACAAAAAGTGTATGGAATGTGGATTCATGTACTAGGCTTGATGTAATACTTTTTGTTTGAACTGCTAAGATTACTAATTCACCATCATAAAAAATGAGAGGAATCAGTAGTTGAAGTTATATAACAGGGGTTTAAACCAAAGTGTACTAACCACAAAGCTAAAGTTTCGATAAAGTAATAAGAGGTGTAACAAAACATTTATAGGATTTTTATAAACCTCAAATGTATTTAAACGTTATAGTGTACGATAATTCTTACTGTTCGTTCTTCTGGTTGACCAAACACTTGATGGATAAGTAATTTTCATAACTAATTATTTTTTTTTAAACAACAATAACGAAATATTTTTTTTAATAATGATGAAACAAATTCATTATTAAGAATAAAAGCAAATCAGATCTGAAAAAAGAAACCTGTTTAGGGTCAAATTTAACACAAAAAATGGTTTTCCGATTTTTTTTTCCAACATGTAATTAATATGTTATACTTACTAATGATTTATTATTTTGAAAATGGTTTATTCAATAATGATTTAATAATAGTTGTTCCACTTTAAACTTATATTCAAAGAATTCAACGTCGATCCACTGATATATTCCATTCCATGGCGCAGTTACATAGGAATTATGATAAGGTAAGAAACGTGTTTGATGATATTTTCGCGTTTCCAATTATGAATCGTTTAACTGAATTGATGCAATACAGAAAAGTTATATACATAAACAACTGTACACTTCATGAGATGACATAACTTTTGAAGACATTTGCTTTAATATGAATAATTGCCATTTAAAAATTATTCATAAACATCTCATGTTGTAATTTAACGTTATCCGTTTGATAACTTGGAATATCTTGTTTTTTAGAAGTGCAAAATTAATTGAGTTACTTTATGATAAAACAAAAAGCCACTCAATGTTCCTTAGTTATTTAAAGTTCTCCCTCTGATATCGACTCACGTTAAGAAACCATCTACTAATTGGACAAAGATATTCACAGTGCATATTCCTTAACGTCGGTTTCATTCAAAAACATTCTTAGAGAATTTGTATTTTAGTATTTTTCATACCAATGGCTCAAGCTATCCTATCATACATTGTTTTGTCCTTTTAGCTCCTAGGTAAACGTCAGGCATTTGATTCCAGATCAACTACGGCCAGAAATGAATATCTCTTTCAACTGACCGCGATCAATGCTCACTTGAAACATTACTTCAGTGAAGATTTACCTGTTTTAGCAAAGGTAATTTTTTTAAATAATAAATAACTGTGGTTGAATAACACCTTATAGTTGAGATATTGATCAGCCGGTTATAGTCGACTTAAAACACATGTTAGCATCGTGAGATAGAAGCTTTACAAGCTAGCAGATTATATTAAAAATACTTTCAAATATAGAGCATAGATAAACACAAAACATATTCTTCTAAATGAGCAAACGAAACTGAAGGATAAAGTGTATACAATCAGAATGAACTCGATATTTAAGGGAAGATATAAAATGAACGAAAATACGTCACTAAGACTACTTTTATGCTGCGTCACCAAACATCGTCAACTACAGACTACAGCTATTACGTGGTAATCAACCAGAATGTTTTCATCTATGGATACATCACAGACTAATAGTCAGTAACTTTGTGAATTGATACCATTTATTATTCTCGTCACCTCTAGCTTTAATTCAGCATACTCCTGTATTATTCAGCTCAGTTATATATAATCATCAACTGATATAATCAGTAAAATATTTGATAATTTGTTACAAGTAATCTAATCCGTGCATAGTTCTTATCATTGACTTACATATACTGAAAAACCAACCACCAAAAATCAAAAGGCACCTACGTTATATTGTAAATGATTTTAACAAAGAAAATATCACAATCAACAGGATAAATGTTGATTAAATTTTTAAGTCTCAATAATGGGCATGGATTTGTTCAATCACGTTAAATGTTTAAGCAATTCATTTCTAATCCGTGAAATGTGATTTCTAACTAATATTATGTATGAACTTAATACCTGACGCTCATAAAACTGTTCATTCAAAATTCAACGGAAGTTTTAATGAAATGGGAAAACAAGGGCCACGTAACATAAAATGTGACTACTTGTAAGCTTAGAGTTTAAGAAATCGAAAATTTTATTAGAATAGCATTTCCTAAAGAAATAAACCAAAACGCAGCTACTGGTTTTTTAAGTGTCAGATACACTTAGTTACTGAGGGATTGAAACGAGAATATTCATTGTGGGTGAAATTTCCAATAAGTTCAATTTTGAATAAAAGAAATGCAAAACTGCAAATGAGAAAAATGAGAGTCAGTTTAACTTCATTCGAGAAGTCGTTCAAAATGTTCACTAGTGTAACACTATTATAAGCATGTGTTTTGCGACAGATTGGTATATACACCACGATTAAAAATTCAGAAAGATAATATTTTTTAGTATTTTTATTAATCTACACGATTTAAGCTAACAATCAGTCTGAATTTTCGTTACTTTTGATCTCTGAACACATAAACCTATATTTAATAAGTAAGCTATATTATGCATAATAGCTAGTCAAGTGAATAGGATTACATGACTATATGTAATGTTGGGTGATGGTTGCAATGATGAAAATGCAATTCGATTATTAAGTCAAGCTGTTCAAAGACTGACTATGCGATAAGTATTGTTGGTAGAAGATTGTTATTCATCAATGTGATTCTATCTATTATGATACATTATTTTGGATTATTTGAAAATTAGATAACGAATTTATTCTTTAGCACCATCAGCAATAAATTATCAACCTTAGGAAGTATAACATTAAAATGTGAACATATTGATTTAATAATGCTCCTACTGTTGATTTCACATGTTACATAGACTTTGGATGGAGAATTATATGAAAAATTAGGTGAAGTGTTTACAACTCTTTGTGAAAATGAAATTGAATTCTGTACAATTACACAAAAGCGATTTGACAACCTTTTCAAAGAATCCTCACAAGTAAGAGTTCATCAAATTAGTCTATTATTCTTTTATTAAAAAAATTCATAAATCATTTACTGGTAAGTATTTCAAGTTTTCTTGATGCTATGAATGGTTATGAGAATATTTCAATTAAGAAATCATATTCTATCTCCAATCAAGATATGTTAATATCATTGTCAAATATTAAACACTGTTTAGCTAAATATAGGTGATAGGTAAGCTATAAACTGGTATATTTATGCTTACCAACTGAGGTTCATTTTTAGGACATACCTCATGTGAAAAGCAAGTCTATATTTCTTTTGAAGTTTGGATAAACATCTTATCATAGCAGAACATAGAATAAGTTAAACGAATTCGATTCAATTCAAAGTAGTAGACTAGTACTACTAACTCGTAACGTTAAACCACTTAGCTTAGGAGTGTTTCAAACTTGTAATCCACTTTTAACCAAAGCTGTATGTTGATTCTAAATTTAAAATAAAACTGTAAATACTTTGACACAATATCTTATCTTGCTGAGTTCTAAGTGATAGGGGCAGCAAATGTAAGATTAGGGAATAAATCACATTATATGATGAATTAGATCATGTAAAACATTCAGTGGCTGTTGACAAATCGATCTTCAAATTATTTTAAGACTATTAGTTGGATCGATATAAACTGTTAAAAAGCATGTGATAGAATGAAAGAGTTCCTCAATATTACTTGAATTTCAGTTGACATGTAATTTACATAGGCTAATCATTAAAATGTTTTTCATAAACAGTTAGATTCTAATTGTTTGACATTTTTAAATTCATAATTATTTTAATTACTGTTTAGTATTAAATTTAAATGCTGTGCAACTATTTAGTTGAGTTTACTTTATTCGTTTAAAAGGAAACTCTTTAAGTTGTAAAATTAGCCACATAAACAATATTGGTGACTTTAGTTCATATAGATATAATTACAAATGAAGTTTAAGTAAATGAAAATTGTGGTTTCTTGAGTTCGCTGAGTTAGATTTATTATTTTAATCTTTGATCTTATTACTCAATTGGTATAAATTTCAAGACATTATACTGTGTGATGATTTTATTATTGAGAGGATCTGGAAATTAATAATGAACTTCGTATTGTTCATTAGTAAGATGTTACCAGCCAACGAATCATGTCATTGGATAGTTCAGTGATATACGTTTACCAAATACAGGCCTTTTTATTTGATTTTAGACTACAATGTTTACGTAAGGTCTACTGTTTCTATTCCATAGATTTATAAACTGAATTGGACAGAGAGGAGGTTGAACCTATAAATTATTTGTTAAAAGCTGACCATTTTAACAACTCAGTCAATGCTACTCTACTTAGTGGTATGAATAATAATTTACAACACTCATATCAATAAAGAGCTTTTTCCATCTAAATAAAACTGACTTTGAGAATTAATCATTTCATAGTACTTATTTCAGTTAAAATCCAAACATATAGCCCTCTCGATATGTCTGTCAAAAATATTTTGACTGTGTAGCCAGTATTAAAATGTTATGATTTAGTGTGAACCATTTACTTTTCCATCTATAATTCAACTTCACTATGTAATTGTTTTTCTTCCTCGTCGATGTCACAATAACTATTATCAAATAGATTAACCGCACGAACGCTTGGGAAGATTTTCTAAAATTATCACCACTTTTTAATAAACCCGTTCAATATCAGTTTGAACCGATTAAAGGAGACGAGGTAAATTTAAACCAATGGATATATCTTTTACTTGTTCATATTTTCACAATTGAACATTATTCAATAAACTTTTTCTATGCGATTGGTTTTAAAGAAATTTGTTATGAGTAAATTTTCCGATAGGTCATTTAGACAACTGTCATGACAATACCACTGATATTTCAATATTAATGGTATTATAAAGCGTGATCCATTACACGTTCAATACGTTTGAGGCAAAATTTTCCGTTCAATGCTTAATATGAGATTTATAATTAATGTCCAGAAAACATACCAATATGTAACTAAAGTTAACCGTGTGAACATTATATATATATATTGGTGATTAAGTTATAGAGTCACATATGCCATCCTTAAAATGTGCAATTCAAACACGTTGCTTATGGTATGAAATGGTTTTTGTGGGAAAACAATATCAATAACCATATATTAGCTTTGAAGTTTCATTTTAAATGTGATGTAGTCTTGTTTACACTTTTGTGAATGAATTATACAAATTTTCGATCGAATATGATAACAACATAATTGCCAAAACGGAAATTAAATTTATTCATTTTATTTTTCAGTTTACTGTCATAACTGGATTATTAGTCAGTCAGTTATAAGCAATTAACCACACTACATTAGGATAAAAAGATGAAATTATCAGTATTTGTATCAAAGTAGTAGAAACAGTAGTATTATCATTGGCAGAAAAGTCAGTCGGTCAGCTACAACGTAGGTCCCGGCACATACATGCATCGTTTGAAGATGCCATACCTCATTAGCACAACAATATGAACACCAAATTCATTGAAACAGTTACTTCAATGTTAGTAAAAAAAGACTTCATTTATGGATATAATACAGGGAGAAAGAATTACTTGGTAGAAAGAAAGTTAGAAAGCACTTTCAATCTCACTTTTTAAGGGCAGAAAAAGTGTATACACCTACGCTAGTGTGATAAATTCTGCGCAATGTCACCCAGTCTCCAACCATTGGTTACGATAGTCACGTGGACCCCAACTTAGTAGTCTACATCTAACAACATGGCTCAGACTAGAAGTCAGTGACTTCAAGGATTGATGCCATGTTTTGGTTTGGCTGCCCCTAACTTTCTTACAACCGTCTCCAACACCACTCAGATTTGCACGTCATGGTAATCGGTGTTCAGGCATACGCAACACGTGACACAACCATCTCAGTCGATAAAGATTCAAAACCTCATCAACTGATTTGCCATCATTCTCTTGTACCCTGCGTATAACCTCACTAGTAATTACCCAGTGACCCCAGGAGATGTGATCAATATTTCTAAGAAATCTGTGATTAAATACTAGCAAATTACGAGTATCTTTTATTCCTAATGGCCATGCTTCGCAGCCGTAAAGTATGATAGAACGAACTGCTGCGCAATATACTCGTCCCTTAATTGATAGACGGATATCTCGCCTTCGCCATAGGTGACGTAAGTTGATAAAAGCCAAACGAGATTTTTGAATCCGTGATGAGATTTCGTCAGACACCAACCCATTAGTACTAATAAGATATCCGAGATAAGTGGAGTTGTCAACGCGTTCTACTACTTCACTCCCTATCCTTAGTTCAGGTGTTGACGCAGACCAGTCCTGAAGCAACAACTTGCATTAAGAGGGGGAAAAATCCATCCTCAACGTTATGGCATTGTTGCACAGTGCTACCAAAAGACTGCATTTTATCAACGTCTGACCAAACAGGAATATGACATCTGCGTATTCTAAGTCGATAAGTGGACCTCGTGGAAGTAGATCAATGCCGAAGACTTCAGTCGATGAAGTTTTTGTTTCCATCAGTATATCTATGATGAAGTTGAACAAAAATGAACAACACTTGATGTTGCAAAATTAGCTGACCGTTCTTCATAAGCAAAAGAGATTTCAGATAGAGAGCATCATTCTAGAAATGACATTTAATTGTCGGAATGAATGTTACCTAATGTCTCCAACAATTAGTCACGAAATACCACGGCTTCAAACCAGATGGTCTACACTCATTTGCATTGCTTAGACCAACAGTTAATAACTTTACAAACTGATACTACATTCTAGTTTGTTTGCCCCTCAACTTGCTTAGCTATTTAACTTCCTATCATCAGTCCAAGCGTTGACGCAAACCAGTCCCAAAGCAATATTTTACGCTTATAGGGGAACAAATGCATCCCAGTCGTTCTTACGTTGTTTCTCTAGACCACCAGAAGGCTCTGCACCTTTCCAGTTTTTGACCAGTGACTTGCAGGTTTAAAATCTATCTAACATACTCTGTTTTGTGTAGCTTTGTAGCATCATTTATCTTCATACAAATAGTAAGGTTTGAACCACAGTAAAGGAACCTGCAATAACTTCAAAGTGAACAGTCAACTTCACGATCCACGACTATCCTCTGAGTATTCTAAGTCAGTAAGTGATCTCTCCTGATAAGAGAGGCGTTATTTCTGAAAGTACTTATATACCGAAGATAAGTTAGGATGAAGTACCATGGATCATGGATTGAGATTAATTTGAAAAGGTTTTCAAAGACTTAGAAATACTGTACAGTTATTTTTTCTGTACAACATTGTGAGATCGTATATACTGATAACATTTAATGAAAGATAATGGTCTAATTACAAGCCAACTGAAATTTAACAAAGAATTCATTCTCATTTTTCAACTTTGCGATTTTATCTACCAAACGAAAAGAAAAATAGATTAATAGCACAGCGGTTATATACAGTTGCGTAATGAAGATAAAAAAATGTTCGTTTTATTTGATGGATTGTTTAGCGAATAAAATGTGCTATGAATAGTTTAGTCAAGTGACTAGTGTGTTATACAGACTCCATGAGAACGAGAAGAAACAAAACAACATATTAATAAAATGAAGTTGGATTGCATACACTTGCTGAGTGTAAAATTCAGGTGATTTTTTGCTGAAAAATATGGTATAACTACGGAATGAGGGCGTTGTCTATGTTTATTTGTGTGCGAATACCCATAACTACTAATGTAAACAAATTTAGTACCTTTTCTGTCCTGTTACTTTGCATTATAATTTATAGGTCAGTATTTTATTAAATTATTTTCATCCATTATTTATTATTTAAATTTAGACAACAAAGCTGTGCTCAGCTACAAATGAAAGTAATTTGGAACAAATCGCACGTAAACTTTCGAGACGATTGGTGATACGTGAGAGATGTATTAAATCATACGAGAATGAAATGAAAATGTTACAGGCCGGTTATGTTACTCCAGTGTCTAGTATGATGACTGGATCTAATAATCAAATACAACAACAACAACCAACTAATTCGGTGAGTTGACCAAATGTAATGTGTTTGTGTAAGTATTGATTTTAGCTTTCTTTTTTATGATACAGAATCGTTAATCATGTGATCAGGTACTCGATCGGGGTTCATTAATTATTTTACTTTACTTTAAACAAATTTCTATATTCTACATAAGTCTATAAATACTTCGTTCGGTTTTCTACTTAATCTATGTATTTTTATTAATATATTTTAAAACTATTTGCTTATGTTCTAATATATCGTCTCTGCTTGTATAAGTTGGACATATACTAACCAAAAGATTGAGAAGTTTCAATTCAGTAAATGCGTTGTAGCTAGTTGTTGAATGTAGGACAGGTTTCTGTCTTGTTTAAAACTTTTTAGCTGAATGTGCCTGCGAACGTATGAAACGTTAGACAAAAATTTACGGAAAATCAATGAATATGTAAAAGAGAAAACTTCTTAGGGTTTTTTTATCTTTAGTTTCAGTGAAACAAGTTTAACAATCACAATCTGATGTTGATTTGTTTTTTTTCTTTTTCTGTTTTGATCTTGATTACACTTTATTTTCACAAGTAAAATTTCATTATATTATACAACTATTACCGTATGTATCTGTGAATAATGTTTATTTCGTAAATTTCATTTCTTATTCGTAAAATTATTATATTTATTTATTTATAGACTTAATAATAGTTTCAGTAAAGTTAACTGAAACTTTCAAAAAATTAATCTAAAACAATAACTTGATAAAAACTCCTTTGTTCTTCATCAAATGTAAAATGATTAGTTTAGATTCTCACAATATTTGGGCGCCGAGTTGATGTGAGACATTAAAGAGGTAGAATGTATTTGTAAAATCTTAGAGAATGAATTTGAAGTAAATCCAACGTTTCGCCTGGCAATTTGATCCAAGCTTTTTCAAAGAAATATCCTTGAACGTTGGATTTACTTCAAATTTATTCGCTGAGATTCTACAAATATATTCTTTCTTTTTAATGATTAGTATAGATGCTAAGATTTTATCATCAAAATTCATGTTTTATATTTTACCGAGGAATTTCTAGGTACATGTGATAAATTGTAACCCAATTGATTTTCTATTAAAACAGTGTATTATTATACAATTATTAGTGGATTATTATCATATTTACCTGTGGAAGTTGATGTTCTTCGAACTGTAGATATACGAAATGAGACATCTGTATTATTTCCAAGGTTGCTGACATCCCGAAAGTTAGATTAAATTTCAAAGCAAGTGAGAAACTCATTAAAGTAAATTGTTTAGGTTAAGCAAATGAGAAAAACTGACACTAGATATAGACAAATTAGTAATAAGGATGATTCGTAATTTATATGACTACTACTATACTATCTTTAGGCTCAAACCAAACCAGCTGATTTTTTGAAATGTCATCCCTTGAGCTGTCGACCTGGTCTTCAAGCCAAAGATGATGACACATTATTACAGGATATGTTTTCATCGTAAGCAGATACTAAATTAAGTTCATACTTTATTTCTTCTAAGTTATTTTAGCCCATTTACACTACTAGCATGCATTTAGATTTTTAAGAATACTGTAATTAGAACATTTATATCCAACAATCCAGTTCGAGCTCTGGACTTTTGATTTAGCTATCCTATTCTTAGAGTGTAGACTCTTCCAAATGAAAACAGTAAGTAGAACATATCCAGAATAGATTAAACGTTAGTTCTATCACAATATTACTAAAGAGAAATTGTATTGTATCTACTTCCGCCGGTGTAAAAGTGTTTGGTCCAAATTAAATAGACATATATACTTTCTAGTTTTTTTATTTTGTAATGTCTGAGGAATTTATGTACGTGGAACTTTCTTTCACAGGAAACGGAAAATAATAATGAACTATTAGCATTCAATCAAGAATATGTTGAGAATAAAGTTGAAGAATTACAATTTGCTATACGTCGTGAAAAGGTACAACATTAGCTTCCTTTTTTTATGTGTTAATATTTGCATTATTTCTCAAACATATTCAGTTTATCTAGAGATGACCGAATGATTTCGCTGGATAACCTTTTGTGTGTCTTACAAGAATAGTCGATAAAGCTAGGGGTTCATAATATATGGGGATTTGTGGAAATTATTGAATCTTAGTTTGCGTCACAAACTGGCGTTAATTAGAAAGCCACTGAAAACCAGGTTAGCTGTCTTACCCTAGTATAGAATTCCCCAGTAAAATGTATCTCTGAGTGCGAAGCCATGAACAGTGGACATGTCAGGAATGAGATATTTATCCACTAATGACATTGGATGATAATTGAGTAACGTCTAATATTAGTTTAGGTTATAAATGTATTACAACTAAGTAATCTTAAGGTTAGGGGCTAATTTCAAGACCTGAAAGTTCCAGGTTCGATTCCTGATGTTGTTTTTAATGAGTGCTGCTGAGACTTTCCATAGCAGTACGAAACAGCTGTCAAGGGCTTCTCGCTTCACGATTGTTGTCCAGCTAGTATAAATCCATGATAAAGACTATAAAACCGGATTGCACTAGTTGTCATACCTGTGAAATTTATCAACCAATTTGTATTATGAAGATAACCTACATATTGAACTAGCATTATGTGGACAATTGGCGAAAACTAGGGAGCACTAAATACCAACTCAACAGACTAAAATTAAAACGCTTTCCACAAAGCTATGTTAATCCAAATTTTGATCCTCGATTAAGTCATGCATGGTCATTACTGAGTAGTTCGGTACTAAAATAAAACTGCTGTCTGACTTCATTTTTCAGTGGACGTTCAATCAAAGTAACTCTCTTCAAATTCGACATTGTTTAAAAACCTTTCATTCTGTAAATTTGCAATAGTTAAAAATAACTCTTAAACAGTGGGGAAGTGGCTTAATAGTTAAACCATTGATGTTTTAATTAGTATGTCTTAATCTTGAACTCTGTTTCATTCAATTTCATTTAGACAGCAGGGTAGTTTAATTATTCCAAATATAAATCAAAACGGAATACAGAAAAACGATTGTGCCCCAAAGGTAGTGAAGTTGAAAAACTTTCTGACATTAGCTGTAATCTGCTGAGAAGCTTTTATAGCACTTACTTTTATAAACTTCATTAATTTACTGTATTTAGTTGTCTCCTTAATTATTTTCTTACAATATATAAGTAGTACCTTTCAACAACTAAATAACTTACGGCTATCGTTCAAAAACTACGATTAATAATAATTTCCTTTTAGAAGAGTTCTATATCATTATCTATCGGTAGGATGTCAAAAGAAGTTTTCAAAAAACTTATTGGTTAATTCTTCTCATTGTATGATAAAAAGAAATAAAAAGAATTCCCACTAGACCGAAAATATACTTTTGATGATATGTCGTCAAAAGAGAAATTCATTAACACGAGAGATTATGTTGTAAACTCAACTTTATAAATACTTCATAAAAAGTTAATACATTTTTGTCGACATTAAAGAGGAAGAATGTCGACAGCCTAAAATAAATTTCATCTGGTACTGCAGTATTTTCAAATTAAAAATAGAAACTTAAAAATAGTATTCCATAAAATTAAACTAAAAGATATTATTTAATGCTAAGTAACTAATCAGTTTGATTAATGATATAACTGTTTTTTAATCATCAATGAGATAATAAGAATAACACTGCTGTTATAATATTATTGATATAAAATATTTAAACCAACTAACCACTGTCTAGTAGCCCTTTGTCATCCCACTTTAGTCCTTATTCTTGATGGAGTTCCATCGACCGCGTTGCAATGTTATCACTAGTCTACTTCAATGATAACGTTTATTTCTTTTCTAATCAATACAGTTCCATTGCTTTTGAACATGATAGAGTTATCGCTTTAGGCACTACGACTGTACTGAACACAGGAAAGATGTCCCGAAACTTTGGAATATTTTCAATCGTTCTAGATCATTTTAAAAAATAAATAGAAAAAAAACTGTCAAAACTGTTTTAAATTAACAATGGGACATATGCATTCTTGTCAACTGCTTACAACTATATTAAAATCTACAAAGCGTATTGATTGGGATGAAATGATACATAAAGTTTTATATTTGTAATTATAAACATGATTAGTAAAGTCGTTATTGTATAAAAACATTGGAATGTTGCTCTGGAAAGTGTGAAACCATCGATTGACCAGAATCAAAAACTGAAATACATTATTGAATTATTAGAAAATGAGATTTAGACACATCTGAAAAATTAAGGTAAGAAAGAATCAAACAATGACTGCAACTATATTCTTGAAGTGAATTCGATAACAGATAATTAATTAGTTACATAGAAAATAAACCTCCGAAAAATTCAAATTACCAAGGCAATAATGATCTGACAGTTGTTTAAACCTAAACTTATAGGCTTAGTTTGTAACTTTTAGTGGCAACCACTTAAATGAATCTGGATGAAATAACACCGTTTTACTATTAAAAGGTACTGCTTTTCATTTTTTAAAAACACATGAATATGCTCAAATCGGTTTTGATTAAAAGTATGCTGTTTGTATGCTAAATGTATGTTATTCGTTTTCTAGAAAAATATCATTTTCCAATGCTGTACCATTTTCAATATATTTTTTTAACCAAACATTTATTAATCAATTATCTACTTGTCATAGATTGGAAGAACATCGGTAGTACTTTTTACATAATAGTTCAGTCAGAATGTTGTTGTAAAATTCTAAACAAATTTCTGCGGAATAATTGGCTTATGAATTAATCAAAATAATAAGAGTACAATGAAATTTAACAAGTAGATATTTCTTTTCTGCAGAGTTACATAATACGTGTATGGAATGTAATACATGACTGTGAAGTCAGAAACTCTTTATGAACTTAGAAATGTTTTCAGAGTGTATGTTGCTATCGAATAATTGACATCATTACAGACCGAAAAATACCGTTTCAATCTGTTTTATCATCGTAGTAATATAAAAGACTACGACATGTATTTGCTTCAGTCGTTATCTGATAGTAGGATGTAATTGACCTTTCCTATGAGACTTTTTTGTGATCGTTTATTGTTGAACATTTAACTTTGAAATAAATAATATGAATTCAGTTATTTGCTATTTTCTCCTTTTATTGTATATATATTTACTAGTTGTATATATGATTATCGATGTTACTAAATTCTTAATAACAATGCAGTTGATTTAAATTTCGTATTTACAATTCTTTACTAATGTGTTTCTCTCTAATACTTAGCACATATTAAAGAGTTCTCTTTTTTCCGCATTTCTATTTCTTTACAGATTGAACAAGTAAAAATTGAAGCTTGTCTATCATTATTACGTAACTCATCCAGTAGGTTAAATTGGTTTCTTTAAATTATACTTTCTTTTGCGTGAGGACTTAACTTGCATATAGAAATGATGAAAATATTCCTAAGACATTGTAAGATGTTAGTGGTTTCCATATTCCGACTGATTATTCTTACATTACTAAATAGTAGATGGTGCCTAAAAATCTTAAATACCGATATTTAACCGATAACTATGATTTTGTATCATTTCATTTACTAGTTAAAGTGTCTATTTGTTTTGTAAATGAGAGATATGCACTTTTTCGTTTTTATAAATGAAAGCAGACATAATGTCATAGTACCCAACCAAATACTCCAGTGGGCCCTAAAACATATCTATAGATATATGAGTAAAAGTTGAATCACAGGTTATTAGTTTGGCTGTTTTCTGTGATTTACATGAAAAAAAAGTACAAAATCTGTTATAGTCAGAGTAAAATTGCAATGTATTTAACAATCGGACTGTATATTTAAACAGATTACGGATTCGATTAGTAGTTTAGCAACTGCTGAGTTAAAAGTGACTTTCAAAACTATTCTTATCTTAGTATATAGATCTTCATGTACTCAATCTTGAACATGTCCGAACTATTTTTACTATATGCTGGAATCTCAGAATATGCTCAAGTCGAACGCAAGAACAGGCAGATACAGTATATCAGGCTGCGGATATTGAATGTTTTTCTGGTCACATATTTCCTTATTTCAAGTATTTCTTTACGCCGAAGCTAATTACTGGTTAAACACAAGTTGGTAGGAATATAAGAGTTGAACGAGTGGAAATCAAAATATAGCATCAACTCATTAGGCTGTCGAATATCAGTTTTAGTTATCGAAAATTTTGATTTCACTCTTCCTGTTCTTTAGATTAAGAAAATAAGTTATTAAGAACGCCATACCATCACATGGCTCCATATCAATCGAAGTAATTTAAATGCATACTTTTATTTTTCTTTTTTTTCTCTAAATGAGAATAGTTTTATATTTTAAAGTTATTTATCATCTCAACTCACTTTGCTGGTTTGTGTTAGTTTAATAACCTTGTATTTTTATCAGTTTTTTCTGTTCTGAATTGTGATAATTCAGATCAATTCATTTTCCTTCGTAATACAATATTTTTCAAATATTTTTATCTATCATTGCTATCACGTAAAACTTCTATGGATAGGTGAATTGCAACTGAGTTTCCCCATGTTTGTCTTGTCTGGATACCAATTAAATGGTGGATTTTCTTAAACCTTGACGGTATTAGAAAAGTGTAGCAAAGGACTTCTTCAATTAGCGTCATCTGACTAGTGCATAGTCTAACCATTCGGAATTAAAGTCGCATAGATTGATCTATTCAATTATTTTAAGATGCAAAACTCTCGCCTATGTTCCACTAACTTACCGCACCTGTGATGCAGGTGAGATGTCTGTTTGTTTGTCAGAGGTATAATTTGCTGTACAGAAGTCCTGTTATATTGATTCATGACTTTTGAAGATTAAATATAAATGGCGATCATAAATATTTTTTAAGTATCACCTGCTGATGATAGAACCATTGAACAAGTGGCAGTGAGTTTAATCGTAGGGATTTTGGTAGAAGTGGTCAGCTCGTTTCTACTTGGTAGAATTTTCAGTGAATGAGGTGGCTATGAATAAATAAACAATGTCTTAACTACCGTACAATTTGAGTCGCAATTATTGCTAGCATAAGGACCTGTCGATCGAACAATATTGAACAGAGGTGTATCCGGTGTTTAAGTGTTCCGTTTCATGTCTTTTGGTTATAAATAGTTGGACACAAATGACATGGCAGTATGTTGATAATACTAATCCACATGTATCTGATTCTTGTTTCCCTCTTCACAATGATTTCTAATTTTTACACCTTATATTTTTCCACTTCTTTTCCGTTTTTTTCAGAATATGCTCTAACTTTTGCTTGATACTATCATTTTTACAGTGTGATTTCTAATTTACTGTTTTCCATTCTATTAATTTCTTACCTTATTGTGTTGATGTGAAATGTAGTGAATTCAACTAGTTCACATGTAAGTCAAGTCCTATTTTATGAATGACTTACTGACTGGGAGTATCAAGGCTTGTGGAATAGTTTGAACTTCAAACAAATACAATTCAATGGATATGACAAAATAATATCAATTTCTCGTAATAAGCATGGTCATTAGTAACCGTATTTTATATATGTATTACCTTTATTATTTTTCTGAAAATTCTTCTCCTTTGTATAATATTCTTCGAAAACCTTTTCACATAGGTCAAATAATTGAATAAAAGATAGTAGTAATAAAAATATTTTGCTAACCCGAAGGATTATCTAAAATTCGTAGCCAAATATAATGAAAAATAGATCAATCGATAGCAACTTCTTGAAGAGGATATATGTATATGTGATACGTATAATTGATTAGGGGATGATAGCATGAAGTTTACTGTTTCATATTTGATATCAAAATTAAATACATGCAAAAATATATTTCCGTGAAAGGAATTTGGACATTAAGAACACGAATTTCAGCGAAGGGATTTCTTTTCAAACTATTCATTATCAAACCGTACAATCATATCTGTATAAACATGAAAATGTTTTTGGTTCTAATTTTGTGAGGACGTATGAACAAAGAAGAAGCATATTGGTGTGATAGAGAAGTTATAATGCTAGATTACGAAATGTGAATAGTAACAATTAAAGATTGTGTGTTTTGTAAAATTTATAAGTTAGCAAAGAATTATGAAGTGAACGAAGTTAGATAATCAAAACGTTTTTGTCACAATAATTAATGGTAATAGAGGGGTTAGATGAATAATTGACTGTGTTCAGTAGGATTACTAACTAACATATTGTGTAATGATACTTATTTACAAGAAATAAGCCAGTAGATAATTTTGCATACTTCTTGTCAACTTAGAAATAATAAGCTATACATTCGAATTCATATTTGTTCGAGTCTACAGAAGGACTTGAATATTATTTTCATCTTTCTATTCTTTTCTATCTCACTTTTCATTACTCCACATTCTTTTGATAATTTAAACCCCGAATCAGTTTGTAATGTAATCTCTTCTATCCTTCCTTTGACTCATAAAAATAATAAATAAATAAATGTTAAAACGAAAGATGATGAATGAATTCAATACATTAAATAAAATAACAATAAAAATTCAACGTAGTTAGACTAACACTTACAGTAAATTTTAAAAATAATAACCAATCCTCGTGTCCAGAACTAATGTCTATGTACACTTTTATTTTTATCAGAAGGGGTTTTGTGGATATTATAGTAATTTTAATAGTTGATATCATGAGCCAATTGAAGCTAAACAACGATGGAAAACCTGGAAGCACTTGACGGCCATTTCATCCTATTGTGAGACTCCTTAGTAGTGCGCATCCACGTTCCAGGTTTTGTATGACGGTCTAACTTCAATTGGCTAATGATCTCAATTATTAAAATTAATTTACTTTTTTTAAAAAAAACAACTTGATCTATTTGTGTCATTCATATCTTTTTGTTAACTCAAAATAATATACATTAATTTTCAAATAACGATAATCCTCTTTTAAAAATCCATCAAAACTATAATTAAAATTTAAAAATAATCCGTACAACAAACTTTCTATTTCCCTTCAAATTGAGAACATTGTTTTTCTACTTAATTGGTTGTAGAATAAGGTCTGGTTTTCAACCAATATTATTGAATATATATATATACCCATTTAACTAATTAATAATTGTCCGAATACTATAGTTACAACGAACAACACATCGAATTATATTCCTTTTCAAAACGTTCCTATTAAAAATAGTTACTAGCAGTCCAATTAATAAAATCAAATATTTCAATCTAACATTTTCATTTGCCTGAATTTATATTTTCTTTTTTTTAAGATGAAAGCTATGTATTTATTCTGCTTAAACAATCATTTTAATCTTGAATATAAAAATTTGTTTAAATATCTACCTGTTGTTTATTATCATTTAGTTATCTTTTTCTGTTTGTAGTTGATATAAATGAATTTATTTCTGAAGCTCGTATAGCCGCGGAAGCAGCAGCTGTTGCTGTGGCTGTTCAATTAAATAATGACGATTCAAATAGTGGTTTGCTAAATCATTCCACACCCAATCGGCGATCGATTATTCGACCTTTAGGTGAAGGAAGTAGTGATAGTGCAACTAGTAGTTCCGGTGTAAATCAATTTATTGATCACGATTCCAGATTATTAAGTGATTGGGATCATTCTTATACACCGTATGGATCTGAGCTTTTAGGACGTAATACAACAACTTATCCTTTTCAAAGAAGTTTCAATGTTGACGACAATGATGATAATGATGATGTCGAAGTAAATTTTAGGAAACAAACATATGATGTTTTTTTTAATCTGTTAATTTGTTTTTGTTGTTTTACTTTTTCGTCATAGTTACCATTTTTCGATTATTATTAGTTTAAACATTTTTGTTCAGTATCTCAAACAACAAATAAGCTTAAGGTTATTTATTTATTTATTTATTAATAATGGCTTTATAAGTACTATATTTACAGTACAATATAAATTTCTCAGCACACAGTATGCCAACAGGTTTCATTAAGTTACTGATTGATTGATACTGACGATAAATATTGAAATTCTATAGTGATACTGAGCAATTATCTTGTAAATTATTTAACCACGATTCTTGAATTGTGATTACACCACAATTACGATACATGTTTAGAATTAATAGGAATTGAAGGTAATCCACCTTGCCAGTTAGATGTTAGCAATCTAGGACTCGATATCTGAATGATGTTCATTCTTTTCAATGCATATTGCCAGCAACCACAATATCTCTAGTTGTATATTTTTGTAACTTGTACAGGGGAAAGTCGTAAACTTTTCATAAATTCGCCTGAATAGGTTGTGCAATTAGTAAATATAATGATGTATTAAAACAAACAAAGAACAGATAACTCGTTGAAATATCCAAATGGCAGGAACAGATAGCCCAGATATTCAAGCAGGCCGTTCTCATATATATGCAAAATATTTTATAATTTTCTAAAGAGATACTTAGTTATACAGATAATAGATAATAGTTAATTTAAATGTTCCGAGATATACACCATTGGTACATGTTATTATAATTTCTCTATAAATTATTGTTACAATAATATAAACTATATAGTTCAAATCATGTTATCAATGGATCACATTTATGCTCTCTTTATCTATTATTTAATATTTTGTATAAAATTAAAAACAGCTCCAAACTGATTTTTTCTCACCAAAATAGTTTACTAGTGTTTATAGTCTGTTGAAATAATGTCCCTTTCAAGAATCAGTTTCAAGAGGTTTAAATGTTACATTGAAGTATTTTATTGATAGTTTGGTTGTTATACTGTAACTATCAATATGAGAACTATTATTTGATCAACCACCCGGTTTCAATATATGGATTTTGGAGGTTAGGATAAGTATTAGACATTACATTTTAGCAGCTATCAAACTTAGCACTAACCGATAACTTTAACAATCGGAAGTGTAAAAGTCATAAATCATTCGTTGATTACATGACTTCATGTATTAACTGATAATTTTGATGAGTTAACGTTTATTCACCCAGTATTTCTCATCAGTGTGCTAAATATAGCATAGTTCATTTACTTAAGGCATCATCACAAATGATTTAAAATGGAGTTAACTAACACTTATGCTTCAGTGCTCTTTCTAAACAAATAAAATCTATCTTATGCCATCTAAAGGTATTTGCCTTCTGTGTTCCCCTCTACTGCAATCATCGTTTTTCAAATGACGATTACATCTACATTCATTGAATGGTATAAATTATATGTTACGCCTGTGATGTAAATATTTCAGGAATCAGCAGTTACTTACTGTAGGAAAAGAAATTTGAAAGTTATACATCCTGCCACTGGGATGATGTAATCTCGAATTTCTCATTATATTGAGTAGTGGTAGATGGTTGATGAAAAATCTCAAACCTAGACTCCGTGTTAGTCAGTACTCCTTACTGAGTTGTACTTGCAATCTTAAAGAACTTGACGCCCTGTATGGGATTTAAACTCGGGTTATTCCGCTTTATAATCTGAGACATTGCCGCTGACCTATTCCGTCTTAACACGCTATGTCGAGTCATCGATGAAATCCAATCAATGTCAACAGACTCTACAAAAATATCAGTGGTCACTAATTTAATTAGCAGTTGACTGTAGCCAATAAAACTTTGACGATCATATTATCCAACTGAGGAAACTCAGAATCTTCAAAATGATTTACTAATATGATTCTAGTTTTTCTTTAATTAAAAAATATAAAACTTCTCAGTTCTGATCATTAATTTACATTTATCTGCCTTGTTGACGTCTATTTTCTTTTGTTTTTGTTGCTTGTTTTGTTTCTTTCAGTCAACTAATCGACTTTATAGAAATGGGATTAATAATTGGTCATCTACTTGTAAGCAAATCCATCATTTTACTTTGTTGTCACGTTCTACCACTATGATATTTTTAATTAATTATCACGTCCATTAAATAATGTTACACTGCTAGATTTCAATTCTCTGTGATTCATCAATTAAATTGATAGCCAACTACTTGAATATTCAAAAATGTTCATTCTAAATTAAATGTTTAAATTAAATATGAAATGAACTTGTAACGTTGTTATTACGTCTCATTCAAAAAGTTCTTGTCGGTGAAGTGTATTGGTCTTTGACATGCACAGTACCAAATATTGCATTGTAATACATGCTATCGACTTACATGTAACGAAAAATATTAACTACAATGTAATCTAGTGTCACGACACAGACCGCTTATAAAAATACACTAGATTTTATGTATCATCGCTAAGGTTTGACTTGATACTTTCAAACAAATTGAGCATTTGGTAAATTATTAAAAATAAAAATGAATTCACATTAAGTAAAAAATATTAAAATTGCTGACGTTACTTGACTCACTGTAAGCCATTTCCTCAAAGAATGATTATTCCAAATTTAGTCAGTAAGATTCGTTCATGCTATGTTTTGAGAAAACCCCAATTTTGCTATGGCTAAAGATCCTAATAGATACCACGTACTATATTCCCTGTTAGATCGGTTACTTATTACAAAAATTTACACACTAACTAATGAACAAAAACCAAGACCTTAACGTTTATCGATCCTCGAGCCACTTCTAACCCTGTAGACAATCAGAAGTTGATGATTGGAAGCAGACTAGTTCTTTATTATACCCAATTCGTTTATGACTCAAAACTCATACAATAACACACTGAAAATGCCAGGCCGTACAAGACAGAAAATAAGAATTCCAACATTAAAACCAATCAAGTCATTAATGGTAGGGGGCGAAGCAAAGAATACATTATCATTTAGCAATAACTAGAGAATATTAAAGCAGTAAATAGTTTGACTGAAAGCTTATAGTAAGGGCAATAAAGGAATGTAACCATACAGCTAGTTGCCAGTTGTAAAATAAATATATAAACAATAATTTGAGAAATAGCTCTGAAAATTTCAAATTCCTCAACATTTATCTTGCTAAAACATTTCTTCTTTTATGAAGAATAGTAGGAGTGTCCACATGCTTTGCGTCTTCGATCTCTTAAAACTAGAAATGATTTGACAAGAAGAACATCCGTGGTTAGATCTCAATAAATGTTGTATAATTCTGAGTTACCAACATTTTCCATCCCCATGGAAAATTTTATGATCCTCCCATAATACGATGAGCTCACCTTTTATAATCTGCCCGTTTTCTCTTCTTACTTCTATTTTTTTGTAAGGTAGGGGTTCAGGACCGCAGTGCTTTTTGAATATTTTATTAATTCCGATTGGGGTTCATTTACTGAATGTTGTGTTGTTAGTTCCTCCAGTATTGCTCCAATTTCATGTGCATTTAATGTATCGTCTTGTTGTGAGCTTAACAATTCACTAGTTGTACATTCTGCTTTAGACACAACTGGGTTTGAGCCCATCATAGGATATGTTTCTGAAACTACCATTAATGGAATGCCAGGTGAAACAGGTACAACTACTGTATCGTCTAACTTACTGCTTGTCAATGGTTCCTGCAGTCCTTCAATGATATATTTATTCATTCTACAGACATTTTCCACCGAAAGTCTCATCTTCAATATTCATCCCTCCTTAAGATTACATTACTAAAACTAACTATTTCTTAATTATAAGTAGTCCTTTTATCCTTGTGTTGGTGATGAATTGATCTTTCCTCAAACCTAACAAAAGACTTTGAATTGTTCTTCTTTATACCAAAAAGTCACTTTATTCATTAAGTTATAAAGAAAAATAAACTGGGTACTTTGATAACCTATCCTAAGTTGTATACATTACAATGTTGGTATACTTCATATAATGATAGATTGCTTTACCATTTCGTGTTTGCTTCCGTGAATGTCTGTTAACATGGTCAATAGTCAAGATACATATTATCACAGGACTTTAATTCGTTACTTTTACTACTAAACACTTATTTTAGACGATTTGTTCATCACAAAATCGATATTGTCACCTATCAGTATATTTGTTTAAAACAGAAGTCTATCAATGACGCGTTTTTTCTTCTCCATATTTCGTTAGTCCCTAGACCATCAACCTCTGGCCAAATGGATAACTCCACTGATAGAACTCCTCATCCAACTTATAGATCATCATCTCAGACGAGCACAAAATTGAATTGTTTAAATCAGAATGATTTATTTCCAAATAACAACGAAACGCGTGTAAAACACGATTATCAAAATGTTTCACAAATCAGTTCACGAACTCATGACGACATAACTGTCCATAGATCAACTATTAATAATGATAAGAATAGTAATAAAAGCCATCCAAATGGTACATTGAATTCATTTTCATCTATACGTATTGGTAGTTCCAATAATTTGACAAATAATAAAGACGATATAGATTTTGAAGCCATATGGTCTGAAAATAATCGTTTGCGTCGAGCAACTGTTGTACATGAATTTAGAGCTAAAAAATCTAATGAATTAGATCTCGTCGTGCATGAAACTGTTGTCTTATTAAATAACGAACCTCAAAATGGATGGATAAAAGTACGTTATGCATTTGAATTATACAAGTATCACGTTATTTATTGAATAATTTATTATTAGTTATTAGTATTAGTAAGTCAGCTCTCAAGTAATGTACACCAGCTGAAGTTTTAAGGTTTTGCATACTTATAGACAACTGGTAGTATTTTCTTGAACTATTAGACGTTCCGCAAGTTAATTATGTTCATTCAAATCTTACATCAAATACATTCTAACACAGTATATAATGATTTATATATAATTCAGCGATCATTCACCAATAAATAATATTAAAAGAAAGTGATTAGGATTTAAAAATATGCTACCCGTTGTCAAATATTTTCAGTAATTTAAACATAATTATGAAAGTTAGCAAATACGATAAACTATTTATCTAACCAGTTATTAACAGTATGTTTATAAGAGAGAAATAGGAATTATTTACACCGGTTACTCCCAATGGAGCACAGGTCGCCGACCAGCATTCTCCAACCCACTCTGTCCTGTGTCTTCCTTCCTAGTTCTATCCAATTCTTGTTCATTCTTCTCATATCTGTCTCCGTTTCTCGGCGTGATGTGTTCTTTGGTCTTCCTCTTTTCCTTTGGCTTTGAGGATTCCATGTGAGGGGTTGCCTTGTGACGCTGTTTTCTGCTCTCCTCAATGTGTGTTCTATCCACTTCCAGCGCTTCTTCCTGATTTCTTCCTCCGCCGGAATCTGGTTTGTTCTTTTCCACAGTTGGTTGTTGCTAATAGTGTCTGGCCAACGGATGCGAAGTATTTTGCGTAGACAACTGTTAATAAACACTTGTATCTTCTGGATGATGGCTTTCGTAGTTCTCCAGGTTTCCGCCCCATACAGCAGAACTGTCTTGACATTTGTATTGAAAATCCTGACCTTGGTATTGGTTGACAGTTGTTTTGAGTTCCATATGTCCTTCAGTTGTAATTATGCTGCTCTTGCTTTACCGATCCGCGCTTTCACATCTGCATCAGATCCACCATGTTCATCAATGATGCTGCTCAGATATGTAGAGGTTTTTACATCTTCCAAATCTTCTCCGTCAATTGTGATCGGATTGTTGCATGCTGTGTTGTATCGGAGAATCCTGCTTTTCACTTTGTGTATATTGAAACCTACTGCTGCTGAGATTGCCGCTACACTGATCGTCTTCTCCTGCATTTGTTGTTTGTGCGATAGAAAAGCCAGATCATCTGCGAAGTCTAGATTGTTCAGCTGCATTCTAGCTGTCCAATGTATCCCATGCTTCCCCTTAGACGTTGACGTCTTCATGATCCAGTCGGTCACCAGGAGAAAGAGGAAGGGTGAGAGTAAGCAACCTTGCCTAACACCGATCTTTACCTCGATCGAGTCTGTCGATTGTCCTCCATGCACGATTTCGCAGTTTGATCCATCATAAGGATTCCGTATGATATTGACTATCTTCTGAGGCACGCCGTAGTGTCGAAGAAACTTCCATAGTGTTGTTCTATCCACGCTTTCAAACGCTTTCTCGTAGTCAATGAAGTTGATGTAGGGTGATGGATCCCATTCAATTAATTGTTACGCAATGATCTGTAGTGTTGCGATTTGGTCTGTACATGATCCATCCTTACGGAATCAAGCCTGTCAGTTCCGGAGGTGGGCGTCTACGGAGTCCTTCATTTTGTTTAACAATACCCTGTTGAAGACTTTTCCTGGTATTGAGAGAAGTGTGATGCTTCTTTTGTTCTCACATTTGCTGAGATTGTCCTTCTTTGGTATCTTGATCAGGTTCCCTTCTTTCCAATCTGTTGGTACTAGTTCTTCATCTCAAATCTTGCTGAAGAGAATGTGTTTGTATGTGTATGTTTATAAGAAAGAAATGGGAATTACTGGATTCTTATTAAATACTAGTTTATGATTCCTCAACACTTGAATACATGCGACCCATGCGGAATTCGGTGCAGGACTTTTGAACCTCCTTTAATTGTTCAGGCATCCGACTTTGATGTTTGATATTGTTAGGTAGTCGGAAAAAGAGACCAATAATTATCATGTTAAGTCCAATGGTGTCCTTGAACCTTAAATGTACATTTCTTATTGGTCGATGTTTATTTCACCTGTTAAATATTGTACAAATGTTGTTTCCTATTTTATTGTACGATGTGGTTTGTTTGCTTGGTATATAAATAGAGTATGTTTGAAATACAATGATTCATAACTCCGAGGCTGTTGCTTGTGTTCTTGACTCAACTGGCTGGGACAGGCAGCGAGGCAGGGCCAATCAGGGCACTAGGTCGTCCTTACATGTTTATGTGTCCACTGTCACAGAAGCGATCGATATAAACGCTGCGTATCTAAAACCTGTAGTCACTCACCCGTTACAACAGATATACGCCAATGTTTAACGACTATCTTCAAGGATTTTCTATCTCGTTTTCAATTTGATTGAATCTACCAATCAACGTTTATAACCATAATTTCAGGAAGTTAGTCATAAACTTAACCACTATTGAAATAGATTATAATCTACTGAAGTTTCTTATAATTTTTTTAGTTTGATAAAGACAATCCTCTTCATGATGTGGTATCATTGGGGAGACCATACATGTTCATATCCTGTATTGTGCATGGGGTCATTGAAGTGGACCTCTAGAGACTTCCAAAGCAAAACAAAACAGCTATCCAGTACATTGTGATTTTCACTGATTTTCTCTTTGACTTCGAAGCAGAATAAATATTACTTTCAACCTATATAAATCTCTATACAAACAACCTAGTAGACTATAGTATATTAGTCAACATTATTTTTAGTATCGTAACACATCTTTTCATTGTACTGAGATTAGATATCCATGTAAGTAGAATTATCAGTACTTATAGTCTCAATTGTAAGTGAAATGTCTATTACTTTTAATACGATTGGTTAGTTGGTGCATGAATTAATAGGATATTCCATTTTATAGACTGTTTTCTTCATTGTTACTTCCTGTGATAATGAAGTAGCTTATTAAGAATCAATTTAACATCATCATCTTAAAACTTTATACTTGAAAATACATAGCCAGGCTAGACATAGAACGTAATTACTCTAAATACCTATCAGATATGAAGTATATACATGGTATCAGTCAGCTAGTCAGTCAGCTACAACGTAGGGCCAGGCACATATGTGCATCGGTCCAGGTTGCCATACCTCATTAGCACAGCAAGATGAACACCGGATTCATAGGAGTGGTTAGGTCAAAGGTTGCAATAAGGATATAGTATAGGAAGAAAGAATTAGTTCGTAGACAGAAAGAATGAAGTGATTTTAGTCTCTTAGTTTAAGGGAAGACAGGGAGTGTATACACCGACGCCATTGTGATCGATTCTGAGCCATGTCACCAAGATTCTCCAACCATTGGTTACGAAAGTCACGCGGACCCCAACCAAGTAGTCTGCATCTACCAACATGGCTCAGACTAGAAGTTAGTGACTTCAGGCACTGATGCCACGTTTTGGTTTGGCCGCCCCTAACTTTCTTCCAACCATCCCATACCCCGGTTAGCATTGCACGTCGTGGTAATCGGTGTTCAGGCATACGTAATACGTGGCCTAACCATCTCAGTCGATGAAGATTCATAACCTCATCAACTGATTTACCATCATTCCCTAATACCCTGCGTCTAACCTCGCTATTACTTACCCGGTGATCCCAGCAGATGCCAGAAATATTTCTAAGGCATCTGTGGTCAAATACTAGTAGCTTACGGGTGTCTTCTACTCTTAAGGGCCATGTTTCGCTGCCGTAAATTAAAACAGAACGAACTGCCGCGCAGTATACTCGTCCTTTTATTGATAGACGGATATCTCGCCTTCGCCAAAGGTGACGTAAGTTGGCAAAAGGCAAACGAGCTTTTCGAATCCGTGCTGAGATTTCGTCCGATACCAACCTATTAGGGCTGATCACACTTCCAAGATAAGTGAAGTTGTCAACGCGTTCGACTACTTCACTCCCTATCCTTAGTTCAGGTGTTGACGCAGACCAGTCCTGAAGCAACAACTTGCATTTAGAGGGAGAGAAGCGCATTACAAACATTCTGGCATTGTTTCTTAGTATTGAATTAATGGATTTATTAGCCACTATATTAAAGCAATATACTTGATATTTCTTTAAATACTATTCATCCTATATTTTTTTTATCAACCTTGCACTGAGGATTTTTTTGTCAGTTCCTCGAAATTCGCTTACAGTGTTCATCAAACAAACCATGTATTATAATCACAGAAAATAGCTCCTTTTCCACAACAACCAATCTTTTATCGTACATATATGTGTTAAATTGTATATTTATAATTAATAAGTATTTTCTCATTACGTTTCGTAAACTTGGATGAATATCAATTGTTTTTATTTCATCTGATATCAGTTCAGCATTGTTAAATACCGTTTACATATTTTTGTCTTATGAAATGAGATTTATAATTAACGTTGTATATTCATTCTGCTTCCTTCTAAGTGTTTGTATTCATCTCAACTTCAGGTAAGAAGTTTAATAGATGGAAATGAAGGTTTGGTTCCGATAAGCTACTTAAAACTATCTAACATAGATGTGCCTAAACACAACTCGAAAATCATTATGAACGGTGATAATAGTAATCAAAGTATCTCAACGCTGAATACTAGTGGAAATGACATCCTTCATTCTAAATTAACTAATTGTTCCGAAGACATTGATCAGAAAAACTCTAAGAAGCCTAATCAAGTGGATCCTACGTTTGTATCCCTTCCTCCTGAAATAGATCCACCTCGACTTTTATGCGCAGATGGTACGTTTAGCTTATGAAGAGCTTAATACAGTTTACTTGAATTTACCATTTTTCACAAAAATCATGTAGAATTGTAGAACAGTTCAATATCTCTGGCTGTTTTTCCTGTGAATTCGTTAATGATATATATTGATATCAGTTGCCATATGAAACCTAAAATGTTTATTGTAAATGGTATTTCGTCTTATTACTAATCGATATTTATGGGAATTATAATTGAAGCCTGTTATGAATTTGACCATTTACATTCTCACATAAGTTACGGTCGCTTAATTATACAGTCTGCTTATGACTACTTTACCATATGCCGATTAGACCAACGGCAATCTCTTTAGCTAATAGAGCAAAGACCGGGACTTCTAACTCCTATGAATCTACCTCATTCCCTCTACTCTCAGTTGCCAATCTGAATAATAAGATAACAAGCAGATCTGCATTCTACTATTATATTTTCTTTATAACTCAAGAAATCACAGTATTATTTATTCCACTTACATGATTACTCTATCGCTCTCCCTGATTTAAAGAGCTCATCATTATCTAGGGAATCCTTAAAGTTTATTTATTTAAAAACCTATTAATATAAATCTCAAAGTTCCTGGAATTATAAAATTTTCAACCCACTCGATATTTTATTCATATGAATGTCGGAAACGGTACTAACTGTTCAGATTGTCGTAGGTTATTACTTTGAAAAGTATTTGATGCATACAAGCATGAAACTATATCAAACTTCTGATAGTTATAAAATAACTACTAGCCAAATGTTTCATTTATCCTATTTAGTGTTCTTTACTTAATTAAGTTGTATGAAAATTATGATTTGAATAAATCCTCTTAGAGGCTTAATGCTTTTCTTGAGTTTTCTTGTCAATGTAATTTTTTAAAGGAAATAAACTCTGGAAATGTTTAAGTATTTTATCTCTATTTGTTTATTTCACAGAAGTTTCTAGTCATGAATTGTCCAAACCACCTCTTTCTGGTTCTTTTGTAAGAAGTTTAATCGATTTTCGCGGAACTAATCCAGATGAATTAAGCTTTAAAGCTGGTGCAGTTATACGTGTGATTGGTCGTGCTCCTAATATTAACGATCTAGTTAATAATTCATCAACAGCAACCAGACGAGATCAGTTAACTTCAATATCTGGCTATAGTATTGATGATGGTTGGTGGGAAGGTGATCTTCTAGTGGCTGAATCAAACAAAAATGATGAAGATCAACAATTTTATTCTATACGTGGTGTTTTTCCATCAATGCTAGTACAATCACTTTCTTCTGTTGATTCTGAGTTATGGACGGTTCGATGGAATAATATTGTACCATTGCCTATAGGTATTTAGTGTATCCTTATGTAATTTGCATAAAACGTTTTAATAGATATTTTAACTATCTACATTCAGGCAATCATAAGATTACTGCATTATGATAGTTTTTTTCGATCAATGGTTTATGAAATTTGTCTACTAGTTTTATTGGTTGAATAATTTAGTTTCTTTTTCGCGATTAAAAATTGTTAATCTCAAAGTCATCAGTAGAACTCGAGTTTCAAATTTAGTAGTAATAATTACAATGTAATTTTCTAAAGTTTTACGGTTATATTTATTATGGATTGACACATGTTAACTGGGTCATTATATGAAAATCTCTGAAAAATTCAAAAATTATTTGAGATTTTTATTATTGATCATTTAAGAATAACTCATCATGAGACTTGATATTTCTTGATTCAATATCAAGCAAGAATTAGTGGTGAACATTATAGAATTAGACGCCTCGTGAATTTTTAATGATTTTCCGGCTGCATCGAGAGTGATCACAAAATTAAATGAACTATTCGATCAAACAGTTCAAGAAAGTAGTGAAAATTGTCTCTAGTAAAACGAAATGTAGTTTTTTCTCAATAATAACCTTTTATCAGTCCGTTAAAACTCATGAAGGTAAATGTAATACTTCGAAGTGTAATAGGTTTCTTTGTTCAATTAACTTTTCGGGATGTCTGAATGATATATTTTCATTGTATTTTCAAAGAATTGTTTTACTTATCGTAAGAAATTTATTCATTTTTCAGGTAACTCATTGGAAGAAAGTGATAATTCTGAAAACCAAAATAATAGCAATAAAAATAACATTAATTCTCCTAAAATTAGTGCCAAACAGCTCCATACAACTATAAATCATCATAATAATAACTTGGTTAATAACTGTTCTGTTGATGTTAATCAATCAAAAAAGAGTTGTCATCCGATAGATGAAGAAGACTACATACAACTGCATTCAAATGTATTACCATCATCTCAAACAGTTCAAGTGAAAAGTTCAACTTGTCAAATTCATTCTAGTCCGTCAGAAAGTATTAAATTGCCACATACTTTGTTGTCAGATGATACTAAACATTCAGCGCCTAATAATCCTGTTACAAGTCGACATCCTCATCAAAACTCTCAATGCTTGCATCATCGTCATCATAATCGACATCATGAGTACAGCAAAACTGATGAGGTGAGATAAACTAGTTTCTATATTCATATTATTCAATTGAATTTCCCTTGAATATCACTATCTTCGTGCTAAAATATAACCACTCAAACAAACGATCACTTCAACATTAGGTAAACTGAATGTCCGATTTCTGTTTACATTGAATAACATCTGTTGGATAAAATATTTATATTTTGAAAACGCACACTCTATCAATCCACTACATACTCCATTTTTGACTATTAATAATCTCTTAATTCATTGTTTCTCAAGTTAAAACGAATATGCCACTATCGAATTATAAGAGACAGTGTAAAGATGATGATACTTGAATAATTATGTAAGTGAACAAGATTGTCACCCATTACATATGAGAAATTATTTTTATTCGATGATAAAATTAATCACGAATGTTACCAAGAAAACAGCCTATGATAATTCAGTCAAACAATTTTTATTTTGATGATATTAGCATTTTAATTGATACAAATGATTCTGTAGTTATTATTTATAGAGTATGTTAATGGATAGTAAATTAATACAGCGTTATTAACAAATTGTTGGAACATTTTTATGTACTTGAATGAAAGGTGTAATGAACGGTGTTAAAGTAAAGGTAGTTTTCAGCTGGGTAGAATAGCAATTGGGTTTCGAATAGGTGCTTTTCAAGAGGGTGAGGATGAAGTCAACAGATGATGACAAAAATCTACTGAACAATTTGGGAATGTAGAAGCAGAAGGATCAGAGTGAATTATAGAACTGAACCAACAAATCGCTAGAACTTTGTCGTGTACGAGTTTTTGGTCTATAATTCATTTCATCTGCTCCGTTTGAAGTTATAAACAATTTTTACTGATATTTAATTGGACTTTTTATCCAGAATTTAAGTAGTTTACTAATTTTGATTCACCCTTATATATATAACAAGAACAATTATTTGGAATGTGTTTAGAACGAACGCACACCTTGTAATCGATAAAATCTGCTCCGCAAGAGCAGATAAAATAATGAGGACACATTGAGATGATCCAAAGAGGGAGTTCGTGTTTAGAATATCATGAACATGTTCTTAAAACAAGTTCCGGTAAATACTAGTGATGGTCATAAATACATTTAAAGTTTAGCTAAAAGCTACGTTCATGCATCCGTACTTTGTCAGTGAGTTACACTACGGTATTACTATTTCCTATAATCTTTACACTGTCTCTTATAATTCGATAGTGGCATATTCGTTTTAACTTGAGAAACAAAGAGTTAAGAGATTATTAATTGTCAAAAATGGAGTATGTAGTGAATTGATAGAGTATGCGTTTTCAAAATATAAATATTTTATCCAACAGATGTTATTCAATGTAAACAGAAATCGGACATTCAGTTTACCTAATGTTGAAGTGATCGTTTGTTTGAGTGGTTATATTTTAGCACGAAGATTGTGATATTGAAGGAAACTTTAAATGAATGCAAAAAAATACGAAAATGAAATCAAATTTTAGGAACACCTGCAAACATTTAGGAGGTAACATATCAGAGAAGTCAACTGGTATAAGCTTCAAAATGATTGGTAATAACATAAACCATCAACTGTTGTAAAGTAGTATATTGTAATACATAAAAAATAAACACGAAAGAGTTTAAGTTTAAAATCCAAAACAAATTATCGATGCTTATTTTTATTTAATCATGACTCTCTAGTCATTTTAAACTAAAATAATCTGTTCCTTCACCAAAACTGCTTTGAAACTGGATATTATTTCTCATAGATATTAATTACATAACTTTTGAAAAAGATTCCGTTTCTATTCATTATATTGGTTGTTGCTTTTCTACACTTTGTTTAGGTGCCAATAGCTGAGGTTTGAATAGAATTTCATCTCATTTACAAACATGATAGCAATGCATTTATTTTTTACACTTTTTATATAAACTTCAGATATATAAAGTAATATGGAATCAATTGTTTCCGGCTTGACATTTTTTTTGTTTATTTTCAGTTTGTTATACTTTCTGTATACTTATGTTCTTTTTATTTGGACAGTATTTTGTGCATATTTGTCCCTATGCTAGGCTTTTTACCTAGGAATGAACTTATTTCTATCTCATAGATAATAATGAATTGGTCCACTGTTTTTATTTGCAAACCTCCTTCCTTTAAACACTTGATGAATGCATCATAATTAAAACTTATTACATTTGATTGTTATCTCACAGACCTTCATTTTTGTCTGTATTTTGATGATGTAACTTTTTATTTTAGGTTTAGTCCTATTGTATTAAGTTACAAAGTGATTGGTAGAGATTTTTCTGTAGTCACCAAAATACTAAAATATAGTGAAAATATCTATCAAGTTAGAGAATAGTTTGGATGAAAAGTAAAGTGTTGTCATATTCAAAGTGTTACCAAAGTGTGTGAGATGTCGTGTTTAGTTTTCAATAATTGATGTCACGAATTGTCTGCATGCTAGAATGGTGCAGTTAGTTTAATTTAACTTCTATTTTCACAACTAAGTAACAGTTACACAGTTTAAGTAAAGTCTTCCACTCTGATAAACAATTTAAAACCCCTTTAGGTCACTTCTGGACATTCTGTTGCTCCTAAAAAGGAGCTTTTGTTCTGAACTTGATTGTTTAATTGTTTAAGCATGATATAAGTCAATGTGTTTGTGGTGACTCAGTACCCATCAACTTGATCTCATTGATAAAACACGTACTAACAACTCTCTAAAAACCTTTAGGAAGTAAAGATACAATGTATCTATCGTACCGATTCAATCACTGACGGTGGTCCATCTATATACAGCAGCCATTAGTTTCATGATAAAGGCGTGAAGTTTTCAACCATTTTGTTGAATGCACGTAATTCTGCAAATATCTAATCATTCTCGATCCTCTCTCCCCGTCCATAACTTCGAATGATAACATCAAACACAGTGTCGTCCATTCAGAATTTGGCGTTTACGTCTCTCATCAGGATGTTCTTACCATTTTCTGAGCTTTTCTTTACGATCTAATGCAAATTCTCATAAAACATCCTTATGGTCGTCGTTGCTATGATTGGTAGGTGCATATCATTGGATGAAATTCGTTTTAATCCTTTATTTATTCATTTTAAAAGTTGTTTCAATGATCCTGTTTTAATGAGATTCCCATCTCATAACTGCTTTACGGGCTTCTTTGGACAGCATCAGTGTGTTGATCATAAACGTAGATGATCTATGTCGAACGATTAGAGGCCTACTCGAGTTAGATGGGAATGTTGTAACGAACTAGCTAACGTTGAAGTCACACCTCATTATCAGCACCTTAAGTGGACTACCCCGTTGACGTATCATGGTACTCATAAATGCTTTGAAGACTGTAAAACACAAAGGACGTCATTATAGAAATATATTAGTTAAAGTAGATACAAGCGAAAGTATGACCGCCGCCGTATGGGCCAGTCCGTGGCGTACGATTAACTGATGCACGTTGGTTATCCTTGACGAGGATAGATAATTTGTTCGATATTCAGTGACCCAACTGCCGCATGATTTGGCTAGGGCTCAGTGACGTTTCATTGGCCCTACAAGTGTAACTCTTGGCTTGAACTGCTTGAACATGCTCTAAAATAAAGCCATCAACGGAGCAGATCGGGCTGCGACAGATGACACCGAGTTTAAATGTACCACATTTGATAGCCAGCTCGCAGCTAATGACTTCACAAGTTACACTATCATGGGATTCACAAGCAAAGGAGTAGTTATTTATAATATTGGTTAGTTATGAAGGACGCCACCTTCTTTCCTACATCTATGTCTACCACACCTTGGGTAGTGGTATCCGGGTAATTCTGAAGTGGTGTCGAAGTCATGTAATTATCAAGTCTCTGTAACAAGTACAGTGAGTGGCCTTAATTTTTCTACTAGTGCTCATATATCATATAATTTATTTCTTAGACTACGAATGTTGGTATATAAAACTCCTAGGGGAAACGACCTATTTACATAGGCCTTTGTGGCATCCTCTTTTAAGACCTGACTATATGAAGACCCACTAAACGAAGACTTTCCTAACCATTTTGTCGAAGGGTCTCTAGTGGCACTTCACTCCTCGTTAGTTTCATTAGAAATTTTAATTTTCCGTCAATCGCAGTCGAGTATTCAACACGTCCCGTAATAGCACGCACTAAACTGACACACTTTGTTCAATGTCAGTACTTGTTTTACCAGCACAACCATTATCATTCCTCTAAACGGCCAAAACAAAGAGGCTCAGTAAGGTTAGGCTTCAATAATTTTTTATACGCGGTCGGTGGTACACATCTCATAGCACCACTTTGTACGTACCTTACGGTATTCCTTCCTCCACAAGGAATAAAGAATTAGGCTGTCCATATTTATAATACTTCCAAATATTGTAATACGTTTAAGAAGGTTTAAAACAACATTATAACAACACGAACACAAGTGTCAGAATCAACGAGAAAGAAAGTACCACAAGACGGAATTAGACAAATCTCAAACCTTAACCAAAATATTTCAAGTTGAAGTAGACTAAGAATACTTTTTGATGCAACAAGAATACAAAAGAAAATATAATAATAAGAAGTTATAGATTACTGCACCTTTTTGAAACATAGCGTTTTGAAGATCAACGTAGTTTCACTTCCAGCATTCGAACCTGGGTGAGTGTGGTCAGAACGCAATGTAACAATCGCTAGACCACAGCGACGATAAAGTGGACCGATATGTTAGACCGGTCTGTCATTTTCTAACGAATCATTAGTTTGTACAAATGTCATATATGCCCTCATTGTTCCTGCTCTCCATGACAGATACTTTATGAGAATACTCTGAAAAAGTTCGCGAATCATGAAAAAATTTTATCAGTTGCCTTTCGCCTTTCCCACAAGTTCATCAATGAACAAAACTTATAAACTCTACTCGTAATTAAACCCAAATCTGCAGAGGCACTTAAAAATTCAGATTGGCGGAAAATTGCTTTTTACAAGACTAGCAAAGAACATCTACTTTCTTTTCTTTCCCAAACTAATTGTTGTCGCGCGCTAAGTAAAAAGGACAGGGGTATTTTTCATCCCTGAGTAAATGTTATTGTTTTGATCGTTTATTACTTATCAAGACTACTGTTTTCACTTTCATTGAATTCATTTCAGTTAAGGTATCCGACTAGAGTATCGTTTACTGTTTCTCAATTAGTTTATCGTCGGTACTCTTGAGTACCTTATTTTCTACTGTATCTGTTAGTACTTTTGGTCCTAACAATCTACAGTTCTCCGCTTTTTTGGTCACAGATCATTTTTTGTCTCTGAGCATTATCGCATCTCGCTCTTTTTTGAAAAGGATCCTTTTCTGATGACTGGCCGGTGCAAAAAAAGCAGTTTCCAACGTCCGGGTTGTTGTTATCCCGTTGAAAGCGGAATGCAGTGCGATGAGTGCAAAAACTGGTACCACGAGGTTTGTACGAATTTAACGCTTGCAGCTTTCAAAAGTTTCAGTGAAAAGGGTTGCGTATGGCTTTGTCAAGAGTGCTGTTCGGATGCAAAGAGCTTGTTAACCGAGGCCATCTTACTGGTAGATTCTGTGAAAAAGTGTTTTAGCAAGCGTAGTCGGGACACATCAAACGGCACTCGATCTGTCGACACGCAAATTGATATGAAGCAAACTCAGGTGAGTTCGAAAATAGGTGACTCACATCGATCAAATAAGGAAAAGCAGTCTCCAAACGGGCCTGCCTTAAACAAAAGCTCAGGGAAAGTAGGTTCTTCTGTTCCCCGTCTCCCAGATGGGATCCCACAGGAAACGCCTAGAAGCTGCAATCGCAAGGCTCGATCGGTTTCTAGCGGAAAACATAACCTGACCTCCCAGGTCGTCGACAACCCTCCGGAATCCAACAGTAGATTTACCGCAACTGTTGTTGTTTCTCCTAGCACCATTGACGAATGAGTGCAGGTTGTAAGGAAGAAACAACGTAGCGATATAAAAGGGAATCCTGCCCCCATAAAAGTAGTCGAGAAATCGAAAGTTGATCACAGCGACAGATCAGTTATTTTTCATAGAATCAAGGAGATTGAGAGCTCTGAACCAAAAGCTCATTTTGAACATGAAATTGTGCTGATTAAACAGCTGCTTCATCAACTCATGTCTCAAAATATCACCGAGGTCGCCTTGCTAAAGGTGTACAGACTAAGGAGTCTAGCGAACTTGAAACCAAATCAATCCACACTGCTTAAAGTAGTATTCAAATCTTCGAACAAACGCGACCTAATTTTTAGAATGGACACAAATTAAAGGGTTCAGGAGTTTTTATCCGTTAGGACTTACCGTTGGCAGACCGTTTAAAAAGACGGGAAGCCGAAAAATAACTACAACTTAGGTTAGACGCTGGCGAAAAGGACCTGAAAATTGTAAATTTTCAAGTTGTAAGGCTTCGACAGAGAATGATGCTGAAGCCACTTAAATAGGCTTCGGATCTGCTACACTAATGCCCGGAGCTTACTTAATAAGCGATCAGAACTAGGTGTACAGATTGACTCTATGGCTATGGATAGTATGGAACTGGATTTCGAGAGTTTTACGTTAGTAAAGGCCGACGGAATACAAAAGCGTAAAGGAGGGGGAGTAGCTCTTTTAATTAAAACTGCTATTCCATTTGTCATTATCGATAGTGTTTCTCATGAGAGTGGGACGTGTGAATTTGTTATTTGCCGCTTGAAATGCAAGGGACAAGAGCTGCTGATTGGCTTGGTCTATCGCAGTCCAGGCCGTGAGGTAAATGAGGTCTTGCTAAGCAGTCTCAATACTTGGTCATAAAGTGGTCGATGTTTAGTCCTAGGGGACTTTAATACACCTATGGTAGACTGTGA